CAAGCAGCATGGACCCCTGCAGGATGACACGCACAACTATGTGCTCTGACACTTTTTCATGGCTCAAGAAATAGGAGCTTTCGTCATTGGGCAGGTGTCTTGGGGACCTAAAGGGTTGCTCTAGCACTTAAGACCCGTACCCGAAGCCCCCGTTCGTAACCGCAGTATGAAACTTGAAATGGCATCCTAAAGAGACCCGAGACGACACTGCACTGCCAACTGCCACCCTGCTCGTGTCCTCCTGGAGCCGGCTTTCGTTCTGCACAGCTTCGGTCCAAGCTGGAGTCCAAGGACCGTGTCGCAGGGCTAAAACACCATGGCAGTGAAGGACGGATTGGGCCCGCGGCCCGTATCCCAGAATGCCAAACGTCACTTTCTGAACCGACTAGAAACTAGCTCCAAACCTTGACTTTTCCTGCGTTTCTGCACTGCCAACTGCCACCCTGATCGTGTCCTCCTGGAGCCGGCTTTTGTTCTGCGGCTCCAGAGTCCAAACCTTGACTTTACCTGCGTTTCTGCACTGCCAACTGCCACCCTGCTCGTGTCCTCCTGGAGCCGGCTTTCGTTCTGCACTGCTTCGGTCTAAGCTGGAGTCCAAGGACCGTGTCGCAGGGCTAAAACACCATGGCAGTGAAGGACGGATTAGGCCCGCGGCCCGTATCCCAGACTGCCAAACGTCACTTTCTGAACCGACTAGAAACTAGCTCCAAACCTTGACTTTTCCTGCGTTTCTGCACTGCTAACTGCCACCCTGCTCGTGTCCTCCTGGAGCCGGCTTTCGTCCTGCACCGCTTCGGTCCAAGCTGGAGTCCAAGGACCGTGTCGCCGGGCTAAAACACCATGGCAGTGAAGGACCCCAGACTGCCAAACGTAATTTTCTGAACCGACTAGAAACTAGTTCCAAACCTTGACTTTTCCTGCGTTTCTGCACTGCCAAGTGCCACCCTGCTCGTGTCCTCCTGGAGCCGGCTTTCGTTCTGTACCGCTTCGGTCCAAGCTGGAGTCCAAGGACCGTGTCGCAGGGCTAAAACACCATGGCAGTGAAGGACGGATTGGGCCCGCGGCCCGTATCCCAGACTACCAAACGTCACTTTCTGAACCGACTAGAAACTAGCTCCAAACCTGGACTTTTCCTGCGTTTCTGCATTGGCAACTGCCACCCTGCTCGTGTCCTCCTGGAGCCGGCTTTCGTTCTGCGGCCCGTAGCCCAGAGTGCCAAACGTTACTTTCTGAACCGACTAGAAACTAGCTCCAAACCTTGACTTTACCTGTGTTTCCGCACTGCCAACTGCCACCCTGCTCGTGTCCTCCTGGCGCCGGCTTTCGTTCTGCACCGCTTCGGTCCAAGCTGGAGTCCAAGGACCGTGTCGCAGGGCTAAAACACCATGGCAGTGAAGGACGGATTGGGCCCGCGGCCCGTATCCCAGACTGCCAAACGTCACTTTCTGAACCGACTAGAAACTAGCTCCAAACCTTGACTTTTCCTGCGTTTCTGCACTGCCAACTGCCACCCTGCTCCTCCTGGCGCCGGCTTTCGTTCTGCACCGCTTCGGTCCAAGCTGGAGTCCAAGGACCGTGTCGCAGGGCTAAAACACCATGGCAGTGAAGGACGGATTGGGCCCGCGGCCCGTATCCCCGACTGCCAAACGTCACTTTCTGAACCGACTAGAAACTAGCTCCAAACCTTGACCTGCGTTTCTGCACTGCCAACTGCCACCCTGCTCGTGTCCTCCTGGAGCCGGCTTTCGTTCTGCACCGCTTCGGTCCAAGCTGGAGTCCAAGGACCGTGTCGCAGGGCTAAAACACCATGGCAGTGAAGGACGGATTGGGCCCGCGGCCCGTATCCCAGACTGCCAAACGTCACTTTCTGAACCGACTAGAAGCTAGCTCCAAACCTTGACTTTTCCTGCGTTTCTGCACTGCCAACTGCCACCCTGCTCGTGTCCTCCTGGAGCCGGCCTTCGTTCTGCACCGCTTCGGTCCAAGCTGGAGTCCAAGGACCGTGTCGCAGGGCTAAAACACCATGGCAGTGAAGGACGGTTTGGGCCCGCGGCCCGTATCCCAGACTGCCAAACGTCACTTTCTGAACCGACTAGAAACTAGCTCCAAACCTTGACTTTTCCTGCGTTTCTGCACTGCGAACTGCCACCCTGCTCGTGTCCTCCTGGAGCCGGCTTTCGTTCTGCGGCTCCAAACCTTGACTTTACCTGCGTTTCTGCACTGCCAACTGCCACCCTGCTCGTGTCGTCCTGGAGCCGGCTTTCGTTCTGCACCGCTTCGGTCTAAGCTGGAGTCCAAGGACCGTGTCGCAGGGCTAAAAAACACCATGGCAGTGAAGGACGGATTGTGTCGGCGGCCCGTATCCCAGACTGCCAAACGTCACTTTCTGAACCGACTAGAAACTAGCTCCAAACCTTGACTTTTCCTGCGTTTCTGCACTGCCAACTGCCACCCTGCTCGTGTCCTCCTGGAGCCGGCTTTCGTTCTGCAACGCTTCGGTCCAAGCTGGATCCAAGGACCGTGTCGCAGGGCTAAAACACCATGGCAGTGAAGGACGGATTGGGCCCGCGGCCCGTATCCCAGACTGCCAAACGTCACTTTCTGAATTCCGACTAGAAACTAGCTCCAAACCTTGACTTTTCCTGCGTTTCTGCACTGCCAACTGCCACCCTGCTCCTCCTGGAGCCGGCTTTCGTTCTGCACCGCTTCGGTCCAAGCTGGAGTCCAAGGACCGTTGTCGCAGGGCTAAAACACCATGGCAGTGAAGGACGGATTGGGCCCGCGGCCGTATCCCAGGACTGCCAAACGTCACTTTCTGAACCGACTAGAAACTAGCTCCAAACCTTGACTTTTCCTGCGTTTCTGCACTGCCAACTGCCACCCTGCTCGTGTCCTCCTGGAGCCGCCTTTCGTTCTGCACCACTTCGGTCCAAGCTGGAGTCCAAGGACCGTGTCGCAGGGCTAAAACACCATGGCAGTGAAGGACGGATTGGGCCTGCGGCCCGTATCCTAGACTGCCAAACGTCACTTTCCGAACCGACTAGAAACTAGCTCCAAACCTTGACTTTTCCTGCGTTTCTGCACTGCCAACTGCCACCCTGCTCGTGTCCTCCTGGAGCCGGCTTTCATTCTGCGGCTCCAAACCTTGACTTTACCTGCGTTTCTGCACTGCCAACTGCCACCCTGCTCGTGTCGTCCTGGAGCCGGCTTTCGTTCTGCACCGCTTCGGTCTAAGCTGGAGTCCAAGGACCGTGTCGCAGGGCTAAAACACCATGGCAGTGAAGGACGGATTAGGCCCGCGGCCCGTATCCCAGACTGCCAAACGTCACTTTCTGAACCGACTAGAAACTAGCTCCAAACCTTGACTTTTCCTGCGTTTCTGCACTGCCAACTGCCACCCTGCTCGTGTCCTCCTGGAGCCGGCTTTCGTTCTGCACCGCTTCGGTCCAAGCTGGAGTCCAAGGACCGTGTCGCAGGGCTAAAACACCATGGCAGTGAAGGACGGATTGGGCCCGCGGCCCGTATCCCAGACTGCCAAACGTCACTTTCTGAACCGACTAGAAACTAGCTCCAAACCTTGACTTTTCCTGCGTTTCTGCACTGCCAACTGCCACCCTGCTCGTGTCCTCCTGGAGCCGGCTTTCGTTCTGCGGCCCGTAGCCCAGAGTGCCAAACGTTACTTTCTGAACCGATTAGAAACTAGCTCCAAACCTTGACTTTTCCTGCGTTTCTGCACTGCCAACTGCCACCCTGCTCGTGTCCTCCTGGAGCCGGCTTTCGTTCTGCACCGCTTCGGTCCAAGCTGGAGTCCAAGGACCGTGTCGCAGGGCTAAAACACCATGGCAGTGAAGGACGGATTGGGCCCGCGGCCCGTATCCCAGACTGCCAAACGTCACTTTCTGAACCGACTAGAAACTAGCTCCAAACCTTGACTTTTCCTGCGTTTCTGCACTGCCAACTGCCACCCTGCTCGTGTCCTCCTGGAGCCGGCTTTCGTTCTGCACCGCTTCGGTCCAAGCTGGAGTCCAAGGACCGTGTCGCAGGGCTAAAACACCATGGCAGTGAAGGACGGATTGGGCCCGCGGCCCGTATCCCAGACTGCCAAACGTCACTTTCTGAGCCGACTAGAAACTAGCTCCAAACCTTGACTTTTCCTGCGTTTCTGCACTGCCAACTGCCACCCTGCTCGTGTCCTCCTGGAGCCGGCTTTCGTTCTGCACCGCTTCGGTCCAAGCTGGAGTCCAAGGACCGTGTCGCAGGGCTAAAACACCATGGCAGTGAAGGACGGATTGGGCCCGCGGCCCGTATCCCAGACTGCCAAACGTCACTTTCTGAACCGACTAGAAACTAGCTCCAAACCTTGACTTTTCCTGCGTTTCTGCACTGCCAACTGCCACCCTGCTCGTGTCCTCCTGGAGCCGGCTTTCGTTCTGCGCAAACTCTTCGCCCCTTCTGGCATCTTGTTGCTAGTAAGGCCTCCTCTGACGCGCTCCCCCTGCTGACGGCAGGGGTCGGCGGATTACAATGCTATGCGCGTTGGTCAAATTCTCTACCCGGCTCAAATGTTGACTCATCACTTAATTTTTCTGCTTCAACTGTCAGCCAAGCCCATCACAACTGCAATCAAGTTGAGGCACTAATGCACATCAAAAACCATTGCTTTGGGGTACACCATTCTGGCTAGACCATGCTAGACCCACACAAAATGAAAAACGTTTGGGAGCAACAAACCGCCAAAGTTAAACATGACCAAACAACTATCTGAACGCCGTGGTACTCCATTCACCAGTGGTGACCCTTCAAATCATTCGGTTGAGGCTCAAGACACGACGGCGTCGTTTTTCCGGAGAAAACAGACAAAACGACAAGCCAGAAACGTGTCCAGACATGTGGAAAGCAAACTCAATGGCTGCCTTTTTTTTTGGTGCAAGCAAGCAATCAAGGAACTCGAAAACACCGCCTGTGATGTGTGAAACATAAGTGAAACATCGAACGAATCACTCCAATCAAAGCAAACATTGTTAGCCATGGATGGTCGGTTTGTGTGACCCTGAGCTATTGCAGGTAAACTAAACTGAATACACATTGACATTGCCATTTGTATTTCATTCCAAACACAATTTCCTTTGATATTTCCACCGATTATTTGAAAATTGGCAAGGCATTCTTACATGGCATGGGGTTTGATGTACATTTTGCATCTTTGATTTGGAGTCTCCGAACGATGTTGAACCATGAATTTGATTTGGACAAACGACACGTAAAACTCTCCAAGATGCAAAACCTATGCGTCGACAAAGATGGCACATTGAGTTGCTGCGCAATTTAGGATGGTCTCCTACTTGGGCTGGCTCAAAAACACAAGGGGATTGAGGCGCGGTGTTCAGTACTGATGTTTTGAAATCGGACTCAACATCACAGATGCAAATTGTGTTTGAACATTTCCGCAAGGACCTGCTGCACACGCTTATGACGTTCTTGGAACGACAATCAGATTTGTTCCACGTCAAGGAGCCGAGTGGAGATTTAGAACTGTCAGTGTGTGAGTCTTCCAATTTTATAACCTTTCGTTGCGAATGTGTTGTTGGTTGGAATTTTCATTCCCACAGACTTTCAAAATTTTGAGGCCGAACAATTTGAGTCGGATATTTCCTAGAAATTACTGTAGTTGTTTTGTTTTTTTGGAATCAAAAACGGTGTAGACGACTGTATTCCTCATGGGTTCGATTTGTTCAGTTTGCCTCGGATTTTTGTGGATGGGTGTCTCAGGAGAGCGACGGCGATGCCAAAGGTTTTAAGGAGGGTGAGGCAACTCCTGCCAAGATTTGATGTTCTCCACTTCCGTCAAAATTTTACCCTTTCAATATCAATCATGACGCCAGAGTTTTATGCCGGAAATTTTAACAGAGGTAAATCAGATGTACAAACCGAGATGGCCAACCCTATCGGTGGAATTTTTGTTTGTCATGAAGTTATCTGAGCGTTTCGTCCATATTTAGCACTTTTTTCCCTTCATTTCGGGTTGTGGTGTGCCAGGCGGAAAAAATGCTGCGGAAACAGTTCAGTGAATTTCAGGCTTGGGCCAAATTTACTTCAGAATGCTCCTACAAATGTGTTTTCTCATTTGTGCAGGCTAGCAGACTGCTCAATTGGTTTGTGACAGCAGTCAAGGCAGATATGGTGACAAAACATTATATGCTTTTATGTGGGTATCAAGGTGATGCAAGCCGTTGCAAACTATAATCAAAACATAGAGACTCTTCAGGGCAGACTCATATTCTTCCAAGAGTGTCACCATGGGTAGGGAGATATTTGCCTTGTTTTGTCTCATGGGAAACACGAATTGCACATCCTGGCTATTTTGTGAGGCTCGATACTTGGCGCGAGCACAGCCTCATTTGCTTGCCCGCGTTCCGCAACATTTAGGCCTGCAGCCAGTGAAACTAGCTGAGGGAAATTTGTGTTGGTTTGCTGCAGGAGAATTTCCAGTTTTTGATTTGGTATGCTGCTCATTTTGTCCTGAAGTGTTTCTCTCGTTCCTGTCGTGCCGCAAAAAACATTGGCTCCTTCTGTGGAGCACAAAGAAATTTATTGTTGACCTGGGGCTTGCTGGGACCCAAAGGTGGCTATGCTGCGGCAGCTGCAAGCAGCTCTGGAAAGCGGAGTGAGGTGGGTAGTATGGGCTGCAGACATAAGAATTTGCAGATTTCTACTTAGCTTTTTTTTGAATGCCGATTGCATACACACACTGGGTCGTTGTCTTTTTTAATCTTTTACACCGAGCGCAGGTGCCCATGGGCATCAATGCATCTCCGTTGCTGGGCAGAGCATGGACAGTTTGATCATGGGACATCAGAATAGGAGACATAACTCACAAGAGTAGTAAAAGTTGAGACGTAGGGACCAGTTAGTGTTGTGCTATGTTGTGCTTCAGGCTGGAAGGTGGAGATCCAGGGCAGTGGGTAACTGGTCTGCATGATGGCACATCATGGCATGATACTATGTCAGTATCTAACTTTATGATATGCATGTTTCCAGTATTTCCAGCTTCCCAAAAACTTTCCCCGGAAGCACATGGACTTGCCAGTGGCTCGAATGGGTGCAGATTGTCCACAATTCGTAGGAGAGACATCAAGAATTTCCTGGTTTTACTCTGGAGTAAGGGTTTGGCTTTAGTGATACCCTCAGGCAATCCAGCAATCTTTCAAACCAAGAGCCGTGCAAGATCATTTGCATGAGGAGAGCCAGAAGAATAAGGGCGAGGGCTGGGTGTGGAATCAGACGCCCCAGGAGAGCAAGAGCAGAAAGTCATGCAGTTTTCGCTTGACTGTACGAGGGTCCTCCAAAATGCAAAATGTGGTGCACAGGAAGGATTATGTTCTGTTCAAGTGATTGCAGACACCAATTCCTTCCACAGACACGGAGGAAATAAACGTTGAGATTGCTGTGGAGCCGTGCAGGGCCTCAGATCTCAAGGCGAGTCAAGGGTTGAGATGACAGGTGAAGAGCAAACTACAAAATATATCAACATATGGCAAAAAAAAATCCAGGGAATTATTTTCACTAAGACAATCATGTGCTTGGACAGGTAGCTATTGCTGCAAAGTCACTGTCAATTAAGCTCAAGGGAAACACTCTTCTGGAGGCCGGGCATGATCAACATATTTGCTTCTGCGCATGTTCAACAGGGAACGTTGCAATGTGAAACATTTTGACCTCCTTGTGCCGGGCACTGCAGGGGAAGCTTTTTGACAAGATCAATAGTGAGGAGTCTACCTGGCACCTGGACAATGGCAAACAGGCGGGTTTGTGCTGTTTGTGATCATGCTGCGGCCCTTTGATCCAGTTTCTTCCAGTTTCTTTCCAGGTGGTTTTGAACCTGGAGAAGATTAGAGTCCCAGCCGCATTGATTCTGCCTCTACAAGCCTCAGAGAATACCTAGTTAGATGGGAACAGAAGCAGAGCACAGTCCGTGGTGTCCATACACAGCTGCCGCTGCATTCATCAGTGGTTCTACCGCAGAAACCAAATCGCTTACTGTAAATCTTTGAGCCTTTGACAGATTTCAGTGCATGTCTGAGAAGTCTTGAATACATGCTTCAATGCCTTAGGACCAGCCTTCTGGGAGGGACTCTTCGAGGCTAGCTGACTGCCGATTCAGGTTTGCAAGCCAAAGTGCAGGCATTCCTGCAAACTGCCCTTACCACCTTGCGGCGGTACATGTAGGTTTGTAGGATTTAGGCGAGCACCGAAGTCTCGACAGACCTTGCTGAACTTGCTGTGGCCGAATGGATAGGGCTGCTTTGGCCGGTTAGCAAATGAGTGCTTCGATGAAATAGTATCAAGAAGGCTGCTGTTTCTCCTTCGTGCATTACTCAGTACTGTGATGTACTGTGGAAAGATATTATTTTCTGTTCATTCTATGCACAATGGATTGATTTGGCCAATACCTCTCCTTTTCAACTTCAGCACATTCACCTTAGAGAATCAGCTGACTGGATCAAAGAGTCTGCGCCTAGTTCTGCTCAACTCGCCACCATTATAATATACACATTTTCTTAGAGCAGCATGCAGCAGTGCTAATGGACCGAGTCGTTTAATTTGCTCCACACGGTGCCTCGAAGCTTTCTCCTTGGCCTCGACCAATCATGGCATTGGCACTGCCAGTGAAAGGGTCCTGGCTGGTGAGGAGCTTTCCTAAGCCTAGGCCACGAAGTCAAGCAGTTCTTCGCAAAGTTTCAACATTCAGTTGATCTAGTTCAACCCTTTCAACCTTCAGTTCGACCTTTGCAAAGTCCTTGCAAAGTCCTGCTTTTTTGTTTCTATTCTTTTTGCATCGCAAACAAGTAGACGGAACGAAAATGACATTAAGTATGCAGGGAGTCAGCACCGAAAGCCTGTACTTGAAGTCAGAAGCCTTGTACATTTGCAGCCCATCGCGGTGTCTGTGTTTTGGAATGCCCCTTTTTGACTTTACAACGTTTCCCAGCATGTCCAGATGCTTGCAAATTTCTTGAAAAAAATGTTCTCGCTAGTCCGTGCGATTAAGATCAATGCAAGTCTGTACAATTTGCCGGATGAGCCATCGAAAGGTTTTTGCAGAGGCAACAGTGCATGAAATTCTGGCACGATTTGGCCTGTTGAAAGCGTTACTAGTTGTCCTTGCTGGTGGACTTAGAGGTATGCTTCTGCGCTGCCTGTGGCCAACCGGCAAAAAGTCGTGAGGGCTGTGAACCTTAGATGCAAAATGATACCCCAACTGCTAGTGGCCAGATGTATTGTCAATATTGTCAATCCTTTTCTTTGACCAAATTGAAAGGGTTTACCACTGGCGACAGGTTAGACCAAGCTCAGGCACATAGACGTGGTAGCCACAATTTCTCTGCTCTTTGATCTAGAAGTAACTGGCCGCAACCTTATGTCTGGATTTTTTCACATGCCTTGTCTACTGTCTAGTACTTGCTGCTCCAGCAAAATCCAAGGGCATCGCCTTCAACTGCTGTGTGGGCTTGGCCGACGCTACTGGCAACTTGGCTGGCTGTAGGGTCTGACACGGAAAGCTGATGCGAAAGCTTGCAGCTTTGCATGTCCCGTAGCAGAAACACCTGAAGGTCTTGGGTCTCAACCTGGGTCGCCTGAAGAGGCCGAGCTTGTTGCTGTTAGTGGTACTTCTTCTGCGGATGGTTGGTGAAACGTTGTTTTTGATTGATGTACAGTATCAGTGTCTATATTATCTATATGTTTATGGATATATGTTGAGGTGTAAAAGAATGAAGATATATATAACAGAATGGAGTATGCATGTAGCTCATTCCCCTTTCCTCTTGTGTGGAACCAAGGCCCCCCCAAAGGTGACCCTCCAAAGTCCTCAGTGGTTGATACGCCCGATGGGTCGCCTTTGGAGGGGATTGGCTGAGTCTCAATGATCGACTCTCTATCTTTGCATGTCTATGTATTTTTATAGATATGTGATATGTAGTATTTACACAATATGTATCAATATATTAAATTATACATACATACATTAATATGTACACTAGTAAAGACATAATGCATGTAGATAACGAGTGCGCCAGCAGGATGTTTCGGCCTCCGGGTGTGCAACGACTTCTTTGGAGCAGTTGGCTTTGGGTGCCATTGTCCCTGGTCACCGTCTTTGACACCAGTGGCAACGCCGCCACACGGACGCACGGGAACCAGAAGCTTTGATACTGTCTGAACACAGTGAGCACAATGAAGAAAGGGACATTTACCGTATTACAAGTGCCCTGGAATTTGCAGAAACCTGATGCAATCTGATGCATGTATTTCCCTCAAGTTGCTTGTGTTTTGCTCTCATTTGGTCCGCTTTTGCTCTCTGAAAGAGCCGCTATTGAATTCCTGGGTAATCTGGAACGGAGGGACACACGTACACAGACATAGATCAAGGCTACTTCCCAAGTTGTATTGTCGTTTGTTTTGAGGTGGGCTATCCAGTGTTCTTTGCCTTTGTCCTTACTTACATGCGTGCCTTGTAGCACCAAGCCTGAGTCGCCAAGCAATCAATTTCATACATCCACACCCACAGAGCAGACAACTCAATGCTAAGTTCATCTAAGTTCCAGCCTCTACTGTAGATCTGAAAGAAATCTAGGACACATTGCATTGTTGATAGAGTATTGACCACTTCTACCTACTGTAACTGAAATTCATATCACAGTTTTGAAGTCCGATGATATGTACATTACGAAGTTCATGTGCCAATCACATGATTCACCACCATGATTTTGCTCAGATTGTAGGTGACCGAAACGGCGTGATTGCTGGCGATTGGAAAGAGGCTTTCGCAACCTTTGCCTTGGTTGTCGCTGCTCTGACACTCGCCTTGCTTCAGCTTGGCTCGCTAAGAATCCAACTTTGTCGTGTCAGTTTTGCACTCATGTTGTCACTTTTGCGATTGAAAGCCGTTGGTAGTTTGCAACAATTATGACTTATGAGCAATTGGAGAGCTAAAAAGCTCTAACATCGTTCGGAAAAGAGTTCCAATTTATGATTGGTTGATTTGCCGATGGGTCGCTTGACTTGAGGAATTCTTCATTGACATAATTTTGTGATCGCTAAAGCGAGCGACTGTATGAGAGAGAGAGAGAGAGAAAAGGGGTGTCAATCGTAATAAAGGCATACAACACAGTACTACATCATCTTTACCAGTGGTACAAGCGTGTTAAGGTCTTTGTATAAAATTGTGCCAGACCGTACTAGGATTTTTTTCTATGGCGTACTACTGGGCACTCCATGTTGCAATACTGCACCTCGAGGAGCAACCCCTGAGAACATCACAAAATGACATGCCACAGACAGTTCTCGCTGGAGCGGTGCTTTCTTAATTTGTTTGACTTGCATCGGTGAAATTGGAACCTGAGGGTTGTTGTATGGTGTTCTTAGGATGCATGAATTTCTCATATGGTCTTCATTTTGGACATACTCCCAGGTGTGTTGGAGTTTGGGTGGGTGACATTCCGTCCTATTTCCTCCCAATCAGAAGATCGTGGCATCTGGTTGTGAAGCTTCAGCGCTTCAAGACTCTTGGCGGCCAGTAATCTTTCTTTTGCTATACATCAACAAGACCATCAACAAGACCATCAACAATCCTGTCTCCCCATATTGTTCCCCCGTACTTGGGGTGCTTTTTCGTTTCAAATCCGAATGAAGTTGGTTAAAAGGGCAACTGAGTAGCTCGCCGGTGCCAGGTGCCTGAGCATATGCATCTGGCTATGGCTGTTGACTCTCTTCTTTCGAGTGTACCGATTGGTCGACTGAGCTGGAGCCGCAGCGAACAACAGGACTGTGGACATTGTGGTGAGCATGGCTGGCACTCATCTGGGATGTGGGAACCAGGTTGGGATCACATCAAGAAGATCACCTGTCACTGGCTAGACGGCTAGACAGCTTGAGCAGGTCAAGATTTGACTGAGATTTCGTCGTTCCACGAGCTGGGCCATTGGAGCCGGGAACGATTCCGCCATGACACTTCGTAGAGCGCTTGAAAATCTTCACAAGGTATTTCCTCGTGAGCCCTTGTTGTCAGCTTGCAGGCCGAGAAGTCAAAATGCACCGCAGTCGGAGACAAAAGAAAGGGACATTCAAAGCTTCTGCGCTGATACATGCTGAACACATACGAGTCTTGGGACATAGTTATGTGACATTCCTATACACTTCCTATATGGTCCTATATACTTCTAAGATGCAAGCAATAAAGGCGGTTGCTTGTACGAAGCAATCTTGGTGCAAGATGCAATTTTGCTCGAGTCTTTGTAGACTTCAGCATTATATAATTAAGCAAGGTTAATACTCTAGGGTATTCAGGTGACGCAGGAGTTATGTTTGAATTAGGATGCTTGTGCTATTCCACTTTACGATCTGCTTTCTGTGGGCAGTTGTTTGGCTCATCTAGGGCTGCCTTAGATTCACTGAATCAAGTTTATTTGAGGCCAGAGTTGCAAGGTTGTCAAAGGATATTGAAATCAGAGCCAGTGTGACACACCTGCTCTTGGAGAACTACGCTGATGGAAATGAGCTGAAACATGCACCAAGACAATAACGTCGAGAAACAAGCAGAAATAAGATTTGACAATATTTGACATAAGTGAATTGATGTAACATTTAGATACGGGGTCTCCGGAGGTCTCCCTGATATCTGAAATTAAAAAAAACGGCACACTTCGTTACACCGTCTCCTACATTTTGCCAGGCAATGCCAGCCATGCTGGATCGGGTGGGAAGCCCCGGCATGGACAAATGGATAATCAGCGGTTCCGTTGAAATCCGTTTTTTGTTTGGTGTTTCTGGACTTTGCAGGAGTACACATTTGTCGCTCATTTACATTCATCTACCACATGAGCTGAGACGTAAATCACAGGTAATCGGGAATCGGGCATGATGTGCGCACATTGTGTCACCCAAACAAGTCAACTCCTACCCCCCTGGTTTCCAGGATCGGTTGCATTCCACACTGTTAACATCTATTGGAATTGAAACAGGCATGTTTTTTTTTGCGATTGAGAGTTAACCTTGTTGCCAAGGAAGATGCAGATGACGTTGAAGCAGTGGAGGCGGCAAAGGTGAATGGAAATGAGAACGGAAACGAGGTGCGACAGAAGTCCCCACGAAAAGACGTTCCGTGGTCCTTTGTAACTCACTTGTGCTGCAAGAATTGAAAAATGGGACCCCAGCCAACCTAGCCGACCTCGCTTCTTGACCGCTTTCGGACTTGTGATGAGAATCGAAGTTCCTTAACGCCTGAACATCAGACACCTTTCTTTTGGTCTGTGCAGGAGCAGGCTGGGACGAAGAAAAAAGCCAAGAAGCCACTCGACTCAACTTGGCTCTGTTGATGTCGGCCTTTCCAGTTTGCCCTGCAGGTTGTTTTAGAATGATCTACATTGAAACGCAAACCTGATAGGTTGAGGGATGTTGAGGGTATGACTTCGGATTTCTCAAATGATCCACCGAGCGTTGGTGTGCCAAGGAAGAAGAAGAACAAGTCCAAACAAGGCCATTGCTTCCTGAATTATAGAGTTTACATCTTCCCGTACGTGCATGTTCAAGCCGATCCAGTGATCCGAGTACAATTTTCGGCAGAATTCTGGTGCTTTTTGACACCCATTTTCTGCATTCCACTGAAGCGTGGGTCAGGTCAAACTGCTGCAGTTGTGGAACAGCCTTGCATTATCTTGCATTGATTTCTCCCCTTTGACAGCAATTGTTATTACAAGTTGACGTCTACTTTTCAATCATGAGGAATTGTTTGAAATACCTTCTGTTTGACAAGAGGTGCTTAGTGCTGCACTAGATTCAAAGAAATAAACCCAGCGTGTTGGAAGGAGAAGATGGTGATGAAGGAGATGAAGAGGCTAACAAGTGGTTTTGGCAAGTAGACAGCACAACCGTCGGTCTTGCCAGACTTGCTCTCCATCCTTGAGATTTTTGTATTTATTTTGATGCTGGAGTTTTAAACGCGGACATGTCCAGCATGGGAATAATGTGAATGTGTCATGATTCATATACATGTATAAATCTCTCTCTCTCTCTCTCTCTCCCTCCCTCTCCCTCCCTCCCTCCCTCCCTCTATCGCACACTTGATGAATGGTATCATTGACTGATCATGCTTGGGGATTGATCAAGCGCATAGATACCTAGTTTACACATTGTACACTGCACTGCAGTATGTCGCAGTATTCATGCAAAACATAGATAAAATCATTGGGATGTCTGCATACACAATGTGAGACTTGTATCTACTTCTAGTGCCGCATGAGTTACCAGCCTAAATTATCATAAATTGGGCACGAAAACCAACAGAACCTACTGCGAGTCCATTTCGAGGCTGATGAGACCAAAGAAGGTGAGAAGCCTGAAGCCAAAGAGGAGGCTGGACCTCAACGCGGCTCACCCGTCTTGCTTTCTGAATCAAATTTGCAAAGATCTCCACTGCAACGTTTTGAAGCCACGCACTTCTTGTGGATTCACTTCAGAACTTCAGATGAAAGTCACCAATGTTTTTGCATTTTATTGTTTGACATCTAATGCAGAGTCAGGAGAACGGGGGAAGTCCTGACAAGTCCTCAAAGAAGAAGTCCGCCCCGCCCTCCACGCCCGGATTGTAATGGTCATGAAAAACATTCAACGTTCTTGATATGCAGTAAACTATGTAAACTTGTTTCTTGCACACTCAAGGCCAAGTGTCAGTGTAGTCACTGTGTGAATCTGAATTTCTTGTCTTTCTGCATATCATTTTGACGTGGTCTCAGTGACCGGGCTGTTTGTCCTCTCATATTGGCATACAGGGTTCTTCAGCAGAGCTTGGAAGTCTCTTTGCGTTGTTTCAGACCGCAGTGTATGTTTGCATTTCTTGGCGGAAGGGGGAATTTGCATAGATTATTTGTTGACTTACCGCCTTCAGCATCCTTCAGCCATTTGTGCTCTCAAATACCAGGTCTGTGGTCATTATATAACTATTGCATACTTTTGCAGACTCTTGAGAACATTTATCCATACCTTTCGAAAAGAACGTTCGGAGAATGAAAGTCATGTGACACATACATACGAGTAGTTCTTCTTTGCTGTTAATTTTGCGACCGACCTGCTTTTTCCTTTGCAGAAGTCTCTTCAAGCTCAGTGAAGTCCCACAGGTTTGCATGCTACACTTACACAAAAACTTTGCGTCTTCACCATGTCGCAGCAGTTTGTCTACGCTGTGTCAGTGGCAATCACTGCCTTGATCCAGGGAGGAGGACACACACACACACACACATACTGCGGGTGGATTTCAAGGGTAAGAAAGAAATACATGTTTAAATATTGAATCTACAAGACTTTGTGAGTTTATAAAGTTTATACAGGCGTCTTTCTGAAGTAACCAAAATGTGTGCATGTGTTGTGTTGTCTTATCTCCCTTGCCTGTACGTAGCTAGATGAGCATGATTGTGCATGCCAGTATGTTTGTTGATGCGTTTGTCCAGTGGGGCCGACCATGTAGTGGTGCAACACGGCATGGAGGCGAACCGTCATCCTTTCATTGAATTGTCCTCACCAGGATTCCTGGTGGCCTATGCCCTTCAGACTGAGACGTTCTACGATATCCTTGGAGGGGTCAACTTCCTGGCTTTGGCCCTTTGGTATTTTCCTCAGGTCTCTGAAATCTTGTTGGCATAATGACACATCGGTTGCTGTGAACCTTTCTACATGTGCACATCCTAGGTCTGCTTCGAGCGGCACTTTGGATTCGCGCAAGATCTGCACTACAGTCTTGTTCGTGTGCTCCAGGACGCACATTTAGATTGACCGTCCATTTGGAATCTTCTTGAGCATTGAAGAGTCATCAAGTTACACGGTTACACGCTTGCAGAAGTCTCCCAGACGGAATCATTCTGTGCAAACAGTTCTCCCTTGATTTTGACTGAAGTCACAACTCGGAGATTGCCAATAAATCCATCCTGTCAACCTCTGAAAACGAGATGATGGAAAATTCATCAGCCAATTTCCAGCCAATTTCCCCAATTTCCAGCTATTTTCCAGCTGATTTCCGGGATTTTTCTCTCCCAACTTCCAGCCAACTCCTTTCCACGGTGGCTTCGCAGGGGTTGGCTGCTGGTCTTCCTGGCCTGGCGTGCGCATGAACGCAAAGGTGATGCGCGCTTCGTTCCTTGGAGCTTTGGGCGATTGGGCGATATCTAAGATACCAAAGTACCATACGTATCCAGAAGCAAAGACTTGTCACTATTATTCTGTTATTATTAAATGATTTTTTACAATGTTGTAAAATATTAGTATTATTGTTATGATTTAAGTAGTTTTAATATATTTGTTATTATTGTTTTTTTCTTATTACTGTTAGAAACTGCTAGATATTGATAATATCATTCTTTATAAGTCTAAGATACAACCCATACATATCTAAGATGATCTATCTCTCTATATTATAATATACTATAAGCAAAGATGTATCCATAGTAAGAATATGTTATGTATCATACAGTGTTTGCATGTGTAATACGTAGAATAGAAAGAAACACGCAAACACACTGATTCGCCCGCAACATTTTGTCGCAACCTTTCCAAAAGACTAATCAACCAGAGTTCTAAGGTTCAGGGTCAAGGTATTAGGGTTTTTTCGGTTTCGAACAGGTTGTGAATTACATTTGGGGGGTTTTGAGGTGAAATATTTTTTTTTTGGTGTCGAGTTTCCGCGCAGATGAACGCTTCGTGTGCTTGTCGAAACAGCACAACATCATCTTCAACATGCCAGAACTCCCAGAAAATACCAATGTTTCAGAGCTGCTGGAGAATACTCTGCTGGATGTTGCGGGCAAATGAAGGTTTGCGCCCGCGTTCAATACAAGTTTTTGAATGGAAGTAGAGGACCTTAGCAACTTCGAAGAGGAAAAAGTAAAAGCAAAGGTTTCATCCCAATTTGCACGGTATAGAGCCAGGAATCCCTGCCTCCGCCAGACTCAGGACGACATCAAGGGCAAGTTCATATCTTTTATGAAAGCCTGGTTTGTGCAGGGAATGTGGGTAATGCTCATCTCGATGCCAGGCTGGCCCTGACACTAAGCAGTCTAGTCACCATTTGGTGTCACAAGCATTGTCTCTGAAGGAATTTCAGCAGTGATAGGCAATCCTTCAGCAAGCACATTTCTTCTTCCTATATATTTGAACGCCATTGTTTAAGTGGTGTTGATGTAGTGGCTACGACGCTGCAGTCCTATTCATCAATTCTTCGGGCGCGAAATCGCCATTGGACCTCTCTGATGCTGTTTTTATGCTGGGCTTTGCCCTGTGTGTTGGGACAGAGATCTTGGCAGATATCCAGAGTCTTGGCTCATAACGAGGCTCGGAAAGGCTTAACACGATGTGGCTTTGGCTTGCCTTTTGGGAAGTTCAGTGCAGCTGCCGCCGAGGAAAGCAGTCTGGGTGAAGAAAGGCCAGTGATTTCTTTGGCCAACCTAAGTGTCTTCGTATGTCTTCGTATGATTTTGTTGTTTTGGGTAATCCTAATTGTCTTCTGTTTGTCTGGCCGCCATTTGGTCCTTTTCACTGCATTTCGCTGCACAGGCCGTCCTGGTGGCTTCTGCCAGGAAGGGCTTTGGGGTTTTTCGCGGTGCCTCGGAAGCGATGGCACCGATGGCAGTGTGGGTCGTTCTGTTGTCCCTGTAGTGGAAACCTATAAAATACATTAAAATACTACAGATTTTCAACTGGAGTCATTGCAGCTTTGTAAAAACTCAGCCGTTTTTTGTCCTACACTTTGACTTTGAGAGGGAAGTACGGATTGATTTTCAATTGGGCGATATCAGAGTGGGTCAGAAACCTGGACCAGAGAACCTGCCAGAGTCTCTGCTTCCGACAGATTTTTACAAGGTTCTCTGTTTGAAACTGTTGCCACGAGAGCTTAGAAGTGCTATATGCACTCTTATATATATATATACAGTATATATGAGTAACCGACAAAATTAGCAGAAGACTAAACTAGGAGGGAGTGGACTTGGGATGTTCAATTTTGTGCGAGAACCTGCACAACCGATAGGGGACCACCCACTTTGGCCATGGCCATTGCGGGTACAGTAAGTAATTTTGCATATATATATATAACTTGTCTAGACTTTGCACGCAACTTGACTTTCCACTGGATTTTGTTATTCCAATTTCACCCTCCATCGAAGCCTCTGATTCTATCCAAGGCATCCGAACTACTTCGGTGAGATTTATCAATGGTGGTTTGCCTGGGCACTAGCATATAACAGCTCGGAAGCTCCAGCAGGCTGCAGGGAAAACAGAGAAAACATGTTGCTGACTGGACTTGAACCACATCATGAGTGCTGCACATAGATTGCTTCGAAATGATGAGCAAGAATTGGGTCACAGCTACTTTCAAAAGACAATGCAGTAATCAAACATGGCAACGGGACCCTCCATGATTTTCCCATATTTTCCCATTGAAAAGCTTCGTTTCTAAGAAATGTCCCAGCTATGCCTGACAGGCTACCTTGACCCTCTTTGGTGGTCCTGTGCGATCTCGCCGATTTTCACCATGCTCATCTTGCTCCACCTGAAGCCCACTGGGATTTACAACGCTGAGGGGAAGAACCTCAAGAGATATTACGACCAATGTCCTGCAACCTGGCGCCAATCCATTTTGAACCATGACTGCCCTGGCCAGTCAAGCACAATATTCACATATATCATATATTCACCATATGTCTTCTTGTTCCTGCCTGCGTGCTTAGGAGGAATATACCAAGTATCGAGAGAGCACTTCCATTCTCATTCCGATGATTGGCTACAAATACATTCCTCTGCCTCTGAAAAGGAGCGTCGATTGTGAAAGCGCTGCAACGGAGACATCCCAGTGATGACCATGCAACGACTTTGCTGAGGGGAATAACCACAAGTGTTGCAGTGGAGCCCAAAGTGTCCAAGCTATTTTCAGCTTTCCGACTCACCCCACTCCTGCTTTCCAGGATCATATTCTTCGAGTACAAGAAGTACGAATACAATCCAAAGGTTGCAGGAGAAGTGAAGAAAGAGTGAGGAGAAGAGTGACAAAGAAACACAAGAAGAAGAACTGAGGTATAAGTACACTATTATTTTTCAAACCAGCAACCAGAAGGGAGGATTTTCAATGAAAACAGGAGAGGAGCAACAGGGCGGATGGCAAGAATGTAGAATATCCAGACAAGAAACCATGGCCAGGTGCATATGAAAATGACATGAATATATGCACAAATCCAGCCGAGAATACGAGATTGGCTCGCCTTTCTTCAATCATTGAGTGCTTACTTAGCTCTTAGTATACCTCTTAGTTACTTTGGATCATCACTGCTTTGGCCAGTCTGATTTTGTCAGATGATCCTTTCAATTAGTTGCTCTAGCTAGCTGTCCCTGGAGGATCATTGGCGGAAAAACTCACAAGCAGTGAAGATGAGTGACATTAATTTGAGTGGTCAGACCACAATTTTCAGACGTCCCATCTGAGATGATCTTCATGACGTCGTGTATATATTTGTCGCATCTTGAAGGACTGGAAGGCTTGCACCAAAGTTCAAAATCCCCAACTATCTCATACAATCTCTACATGTATTGGGTATTGCCGGTATTACTGTGCACAGAACGCAGCCTTGCTTCAGTATTTTGCATAGGTGGCACCAGCCATCACTTGTACCCCGCAGCTACAAGCTGCCCTCCAACGTACAGACTCGTTATTAGCAATAAAAGAGAGTGTGAGGAATTCAGACCACATTCTTCATGGTCATTGTACTTGGATTGGAAAACCTTTTCTCTGAGAAAGTAGTGTGACGATCTGCAACGTATCATACTGTTGATACTCTGAAACACAATCATGTGGATGAACAGAGTATTGCAGAGTTTTGCATTCTACAAAAGGCCATGGTAGGCAGTACGTATCATTGCGCGACAGCGTTCCTTTCTCCTTGATGCTTTATTCTGAAAACATCAAAAAACAATGACATTCTGACATTCTGCACTGTATTCTGATTGTTTCTCAAAGATTGTGCCCCTTGCAAGCGCTTTTGGTCTGCTTCGCAGGAAGAAGCCAGCTGAAGGCTATCCCCAGGCTTGCTTGAAATGACACTCTTGGATTGGATTAGGAAGGTTTGTGAGATGACAAAGCATTTTGCAGAAGCTGCTCTCTCCAGTTCTGGAACACAAACGACCGCTGGTGGCTTCTGTCCATCCCAACTGATTACCTGGCGCCTTGTTGTCTTGGGGTAGCACGCAGTGTTCTAATTCATCTCAGGAACTTGAAAATCAGGAATTCGATCAGACCAAACATGAGAATCGTGAGTTTGTCATGCCTTTCCGTTGGTTACCGTGACATTCTGTTCGCACAGCTGGTGAACCTCCTGCACAAGTTAGGTTTCACTACTCATGTGGCATGGATGAGCGCTTGAGAACGAGCTTGCAAGCTAGCATGAAAAGACATGCAAATAACAGCAAAAACAAAAACAACCCAAGGAAATGCAAAGGAATGATATGGTGCCAAGTGGTTTCTTCAGACGTTCGGGGCAGTTTGCATACTTCTGGTCTGAAGATGCGACCGCTCGAAGCTTTTTCGCTTCTATGGCTATCAGACACTCAACCAAGCAACCAAGAAATAAGGATGTCAGATCTTTTCCTCAAGTGTTTTAACATGCGCCGCTTGCTATGTGCGCTGGTGCTTGCCTGCAGCATTGCAGGCCAGAAATGAGAATACACCGCTCCAGCTGCTCAAGTGTGTATTTAGTTTGTTTGTCGAATGTCATGTTCACATCCTGACCCCATTCTCGAGGTTTTGAACCGTGCGCCTTTGTTGGATTGAGCCCACATCCATTGAAAACATGGACGCAGTCTGCTCGATACTTAGCGGCTTAGTTGGATGCTTCCCTGCCTTTTCAGTGAAAATTCCAAAATATTCTAAACATGTACAAGATGTAGAAGCTGAAACTGTCTGCCGTTTTTGCACCTGAACATTCGTGCCGTTTTGGCACAGCCTGGCGCAGCTTTGCGGCGCCAGGCTCGAGCTGTGCGAAGCCTGCGATTTGCCGAGTCCGAGCCCGTGGCGACAGAGGCGCCCGAATTCTCAGAGCCAGCTGAGTTGCCGACACCGAAGACCTGGCGACGCAAGGCAGCAGAGCATCGATGATCGCATGGATTGAGCGGAAATTGAGAAAAGGATAGAAAAGGATAGAAAAGGTATGAAGACTTCTGAATCCAAAATGATCCAAAGGGATAGCAGAGATAGAAGAAGTAGCTCATTGGCTCCAGAGATTTTTGTCAGAGAACAATTGCATTTTCCATCATTTTCCATATAGTTTCCCGTCAATCCTTGCACATTGCACGTTGCTTCAAGCTCGCGCCGTCGTTGTGGCTAAGGAGAGCTCAGACGAAACCGACGCTTTGATCACAGTCCTGGCAACTGGTGGCGCACCCAGCTCCTGCCAGAGAAGGATTGGTGTGGGATGTACACAGCAGGGCCTTGCATGGCATAGATTGTTCATAGTTCATAGCAAATTCACGAAAGTATGGATGATTCTTGGTAAAGATTCTCAAGTGGATGCATCGGGCTACAAACCATACAAATCATACAAATGCTTGCTACACCGGCCGGAGTGAATGTGGCTGAAGAATGCTGAAGACATTCATCCACAACTGCAGGAGGCGCAAGACCCAAAGCTTGTTCAGTCCAACTTAGTGCGAGCCAGAAGCCTTCCAAGCCCCTTGGCTCCCACAATTGGATGAAAGGAACACTTGCAGAATGGATTGCTGCAAAAGCTTGGAAGCAATCCATTGATTGGGAGCACAAGAGCGCACATGCAAGGACTTCTCTACCTCTTGCAGGGAGACCTGGAGAAATGGTGTGGCAGCCTAGTGACCATGTATATAGAATTATAAATTACTGTAGGACCTGTAGCATCCTTCAGAATGTTCTGCTATGGGGGAATTGTTCGCGGCTAAGAGTGTGCTAGCTGCTGTTGTGTTTCTATGTAAGAACCTTGGATTCTATTAATTAGAATGGAATCATGCAACTTGTCTTTTCTACTTTCGGAGAAGTCATTGAAGTGACGGTTGTCCCGGAGGAAGTCCCTTTCAACGCATCCATCATCCGTCGTTGATCCATGGTTGATCCATCGTTGATCAACGTCCCCGGGACCCAAGGAACGGCGTGAACCTGGCCACCGCCTGGCATCGCTTGGCCAAGTTCTGCCAAGCCGCCGGCAGCGCCGGCACCGCCAGTGCCCGCACCCGCGGCTCCAAAGCTCGGAACGCCGATGAAGCGAATGAACAGGATTTGCAAGTGGAAGCCCCAGACTTCAGATGACTGCATCATTTTTGATATATCTTAAGCATTCTTAAACCATATCCTTGATATATTTTGCTCCTGGTCCTTAGAATCACTGGAGTTGATGGAATTGAGCTGGAAAAAAGACAATATTGAAACTTTGCATCGGCAGACTCAAACTCACAGAGTCTTCCAGGGATGAATTGTTCAGACTGAAGATTTTGCTTGACAATCCAGTGACGGAGATTCCCTGATTATCCTTGATCCACAGATTCAGTTATACACATTAGACACGTTAGACATGTTGTTAGACATGGCTGCGTGCTGCTCCTGCTCCTTGGCCATTTCTCAGCTTAGTTTGAGCTTTTGCCGACATGGGATGGACCTTGAGTCCTCGAAGTTGGGCAGCGGCACGTCACGTGATTCTGGGTGGCGCCAGGGACCTGGAGAAACCTCAGCAGTACCATGCAGTACCCAAGTCCTGGGCTGAAAAATTCTCAGGTTGGAGTTTGCTTAAGCGGTGCCTTTACGTTCGTTTGGCCATGGCCTCGGCCTTCGCGAATCAAGGCTTCAAAACTTCCGATGTGAACAGAGATTGGACAACTATTGACTTAAAACCACTGATATACAAGCATGTTTAAATTAATTATATAACAGTTATATAACCATGATTCCATGATTAAACTAAAACCTCAGACAAACCACAAATGTGTCAACCTCAAGTCCTACTCGGTGGGATTCTGCACGCTAAAAAACCTCGATTTCCTGAGGCCGCGGCTCTCCGGAAAGTCCATGGGCATAGAGGCCTGGCGCTTGTCAAGGACCAACGTGACTCAGACCGCTGGAGACGGCACAGCCAACTTTTTAGGGTTTGCTATGGTTTGCTGTAATCAAGGACATCAATTTGACATCAATTGTCAATTGATCTAAAGATTGGATTGCGTCTGAAATGCACATGAAAGGGTATCTTGATGTATCTTGGAACAAGACAAACATCGCAGTGCCTTGATGCGAGTACTGTCTTAGCCCATTCTCTTGCTCCTCTTTGTGTGGCTTTGGTGAAGCGTACCCTACACGTTTACCGACTTGACACAAGCCAAGATAATATCAAGGGGTATACTGTTGGTAATTGGGTTGGGACCGGTGATCCCTACAACATGAAAAAGTCTTGGCCTTACAAAGCAAACAAACTGGAGACGAGACAGCATGTGTCCACATATGCGATGAGCAGTCTGGTGCGCGAGGACAGAGTTGAGAGAGCTTCTCAACAAGTATGAGCGGGTTGTGGAGGATGATGCGTGCCACGGAAGCATTCTGGATGTTCATGGATATCACAGAGATAGTTTTAAGATACAGATCAGGTCAGTTTTCCCAAGCATCTCCTCTCCGTAAGTGAGTTTTCTTGAACTCAGAAGTTGAAGAAGCAATAACCTTCACAGGCTTGTCTGACAATCGGGCACCCCAAATTTGCACTTTCCCCATTAACCTTGCCATTTTGAGTGTATATACGGTATATACAGACACACGAATGATGGCATTGTAGGCATCCTGAGGTACTTTCTAGTGCAGCCCAGCAATGCAGAGCGGCAGATGTTGGGCCCAGAGCTTTTGCAGCGCCGCGTGTCGGCGGTGCGGAAGGCTTGGATCGGAGAGTATTGGGTGTGAAGGGCTTGGTGAGATCTGCATGGGATGATCCTTGGGGTACTTCAAACATTTTCAAAGATGTCAAACTTCACAACTTCACGAAATTCAGGGCTTCATCAAGGTTTGAGGTAGTTGACTCTAGTTGACTCCTGAAAACCTGTTCCAGACCTTTGTGAGAGGTTGACAGCTCAATTCTGCAGGCTCGAGACCAAAATCGACATTTTGTAGAGCAGGTCATAGAGGCCCCTGGGGTTGGGCCAGCTGGTGAGCCAGTTGGGTGGGGAGCATTTGTTGGAGCACGGCACATTTGCAGACTGGGTAGTCCAAGAGGGGGGACAGTTCTTTATGACATGAGAAGAACATCCTCTCTATGTGCGGGAAGCACATCTTGCCTATATGGGACATCCTGGGATCTGAATCTTCACACAGCTTCCCCTCTTTCATCCTCTTTCATTATTTTAATTTTCCTAGCTGGCTGACTCAACCCCTCAAAAGAGCATTTGGAGGTTCAAGAGCAACAGTCCGGAGAGATAGTTCGCCATGTCAAGCCGCTGCAGACAGTTCTGTAGCAGCTTTTTGCTGCTCGTCTCAGCCAACGCTGGATGTATTGTCGAGAATTCCATTTGCTATGTGGATACGCCTGCCCGTATCCTCGGGAGTGAAAATGTGGCGCTTGGCCCAATCACTCCAGAGTATTGCGCCCAGCTTTGCGCAAATGGCAAATTTCGTCTAGCTGGAACAGAAAATGGAGGTGAGTGCTATTGTGGGGACAAATTGAACACTGACAAGCCGAAGGCAGCACAATCATGTGGCACCGCATGCACTGGAGATTCATCCAAAAAATGCGGAGGCGTTTGGTTCATTTCAGTCTTTGAGGTGAAGTGCTCTGGAGCTCCAGAGCCACCTCCCAAGGTTCAACCAGAGTTGGTCAATCCGTGTTTCAAAACTCCTTTCTCTCAAATGCCTTTTTGCAACGCAACCTTACCTATCGACACGCGAGTTGCAGATGCTATCAGTCGCATGAGCCTAACTGAGAAGATTGGAGCTTTAGGGACCAACACTCCAGCAACTTGGTGTCGAACTATGCTCATTGCTTTTAACCTAAAGGCCTAAAGCCACATGGTGTTTCCTTTAGATCTGGCCTAGCCATCCTATGTCAATCCGGTGTCAATCGCCAAGGAGATCAAGTCCCTGGGCTTGCCGCGCTACAACTGGTGGTCCGAAGCTTCCTCTGGGGTGCAATCAGCGCGCAACACACAGACCACGAAGTTCCCGTTTCCAATCACAACAGGACCTGTGCAGCACGCGTTTCTGCCATGGGGCCAGAGGTTTGGTATGGTTTGGCTGGTGGGAAAAGGATCCAACAGAAATTGGCTTGGAAGAACAGATCGAAAGTCTTCTGTAAATTCTGCGTTTTGTTCCTTGAAACAAGCCAGGAATGAGCTTCAACCGAAGCCTTTGGAAGCTTGTTGGCCGTCAAATTGGTCGGGAAGCTCGTGCTGCCATGAATACTGGAAACGCTTTCTCCACATTTTGGGCGCCAGTCATCAATCTTGCAAGAGATTCTTGGCTACCACTTATGACTACTGTACAATATGCGCACTTTAGATATTTGCACCGAAATCATGTCACTTGCATTTCTGTAGACTTGCGCCAACACGTCCCTGGCGAATGTGAATGACCTCTGATTGTGCCACGCACATCATGATGCTAAGCTGCTGCAATGAGGAGCCTCGATGGGGCAGGAACATCGAGACTCCAGGTCCGTTGTTTGCTTGGGGAAGATACGCCCTGGAGTTGGTCTTGAAATGAAGAATGAGATGATCATTATGAGATGTGAATACTGCAACAACTGCTAGCATGCGTGCGCTGCCTGAGTATCAATCTTGAAGAGAAGTCCATTGCGCTCTTCTATTGTGCAGTCTGAGTGCATTTTGTGCAAATCAAAGTTCTAGCCCACCACAGTTTGATCACATGATGCATAGATATGCAAAGAATGTAGGACATGAACCAAGGTTCTCACCCTGAGTCGAACCCTGCAGGTGAAGATCCTTACCTCACTGGTGAATATGCAGAGAACTTTGTGCAAGGTTTCCAAGAAGCCCCAGAGGATCCCTCACACATCCAGGCATGGCTGCGAAAAATTCAACATGTTGCTTTTGGAAAGCATGAAAAAGCAGGCATTTTGTTCCAGAGCCATGACCACACAGACTGCGCGTTCAGCGAAGCATTGAAGGCCTCAGCCTGTTGTAAGCACTATGTCGCCAATGAGATGGAATCCACCACCCAAGCAGATGGGGAGCACCATGATCGAAACCATGTGGAGTCTTGGCTTTGGACATTGGAGTATGTTTCAGGCTCAATTGTCAGGGACCTAGTGTTAGTCTATAGCTACAGACAGGTCTTTGCCTTTGCAAGAGATTGACTGCTGAGTGCTGTATTGTTTGTCTACAGAAAGCAATACAAAAACTGATTATTCTGGCTTTTGACCGAAGCAAATCAGCCTACTGACAGTGTCCACATCCACAAGATGCATTTTTTTCTTTTCTTTTTAATGTCATGCTGGTGCACGGAGGATTCGGCAGTCTCTATGCAAGACCTGGTTGATTCGTACATGCGACCCTTCCAAGCTTGTGTAGAGAAGGGTCGGGTGAGCTCTTTGATGTGCAGCTACAATGCAGTGAATGGTGTGCCATCATGCGCCAACGACTGGCTCCTGCAGACAGTTGCGCGCGACAACTGGGGTTTTGACGGCTACATCACCAGTGACTGTGATGCTGATGCAGATGTTTATAAGAGCCATCACTACACATCTACCCCAGAAGAGGCGGTGAAAGCAGTTTTGAATGCCGGGACGGACATCGATTGCACGTCCTTTGTTCCGACTTATGCTCAGTCAGCCTTGGACAAGGGCTTGATTTCTGTGCAAGATATTGACGAGCGGCTCAAGATGCTTTTCCGAGTGCGCATGCGTCTCTCCCATTTTGACCCCAAAGGTCCTCTGGACTACATTCCGGCCAGCGCGATTTGCAGTGATTATGCTATGCAGCTTTCACATGATGCAGTTCAGCAAAGTGCTTCCTTGCTCAAAAACATGGAACAGACTCTGCCATTGCAGAAGGATCGTGTCGGCACAGTTGCTGCCAGACTGACAACTCTCGTTTGCTTTCCTATCTTAATATTTTTATCATTGTTATCCATTATTTACGTCTTTTCCCCACATTTTCAAGATTTTCCCACCGGAGGGTTCACTGACTGTTCATTGTTCGAAACGTGAACGAGCACTCAGGCTATCATTGGTCCAAACTGGAACCTCTCCAAGAGTGATGCAGGATATTACGGCATCTTGGCATATCTTGGCTCCATTTCTTTTTGAAACCAGACTATATAAAGCTTTTGTTTTCCCACTTTTCCCCCGACAGTGTTAGCTTAAAGCTTCGGGGTCTCAGCCCAGATAAAGGTTCCGTGCCGCTTCCGGTGCGGGTTCCGGATGATTCCGGAGGATGTAGCATGGTGGTTCCAGGGTTTCGATGTGTTGATTCTGGTATGCGTTCCCGTGTGGGTTTAGGGATTGGTTTCGGATGGTTCTGAAAATTTTGGTGTATGTTCCGGGGTGGTTCGAATGTGGTGGTTCCGGAGGTTCCGGTGGGTTCAGCAAGTTCAGCTGTTTGTTATTGTTTGTTTCTGGGATTGGTCTCCCGAGGCCAGCCTTCAAACTATAGGTGTTCACTGATTTCACTGGCTGCTGTCACTCTTTCCCAACTTTTCTGCCTTTGTTGGGATACCGCCTGGGCAAACATTTCTTGCGGTCAATTTCTGTAAGCATCGCCAAGGCCCAAGCCATCCATGTGGCCGTTTCTTTACCCTTGTGGATGCTGTCAGCAAGGGGGGACAGGTGAAGACTGAAAGCATCGCTGGTGTGCCATCAGTACTGTCTGAAGATCAAAGTGGAATTGATGCTGCAGTGGAGATGGCAAAGAAGGTCGACACAGTGCTACTTGGCTCAAAAAGTGACCAGGTCTGCTTGAAGATGATGCACACATCGCCGGAATACTCCGATGAACTTGCCGGTGCAGAATGAAACGAAGTGAAAAGACTGTCTTGATCTGTCTTGAATTATTGAACCATGGCTGACCAGATGATTTGGCTTGGTTGACCGGCTGACGATTTTTTTTCTTCGCCGGACGCCTGTCACATGAAACACACGGTTTTAGATATCAGGACTGACGCAATAATCGTCACACAGATAAGACACAGATCAGCATTTTTCACAATCAGTTGTCCATGCGTTCACGCTTTCTTGGTACATAGATGCAGCAGTTTGTGACTGGCATTGATTTTTTTCATTTTTCTTGAGGCTTCTTGCTGTGGGCACAGACCTCTCATGGGCGGCAGAGGGGCATGATGCGAAGAACATTTCGTTCACCACGGCGCAAAGTGTCTTAATACAACGAGTTTCTCATTCTTAACTCAGAGTGCAACAAACGAGTCAGATGAACATGGAACCGATGGAATCTGTTGTTGTCTTATGCTACCGCTACCTTTCTACATCCCAGGTTGCTGCAGCGGCCAAGAAACCTGTGGTAATTGTGATGTTCACTGCAGTCCCCTTGGACATCTCCGAGATTCTGGCAAATCCCAAGGCCCGGGGTCTAAGATATGGATAGATATGGCCAAGGTGATCAAGGTGAGAGGTTCAGTTAACTTTAGTTGTTCGGAAAGTGTAGGAAACAGAGTGGCCTTTGAGCTGAGTTGACCAGGAGAGGAGACCGGCTTGGCGGAACTTGCCACTCCCTGATACTCCCTGACTCATGCAGTTTCCAATGGAGACAGTCATGAAATGTCATGAAAAGATATTGAAGGATGTTGATGTTGTTGCCGGTTCATAAGGGTTCCTATCTGCTGGTGTCGGAGAAGGTTGCCCAGCAGCAACTACCATAGTTTGTAAATGTGGACTGATCTCAAAGAGTTTGATGATCGCAAGAATTAGAGGAAACTTCTAAAAATGATGGGAATGACCCCTATTGTTTCCTGTAGTTTTTCCATATTTTTACCTTATATAAACATCTTAAACCCCATCCATTGCAATTGCCCATTGTCAAATTTGGTGAGGTCGGTGCTGTGCTGCATTTGGGTCAGCCAAGCGTGGCAGTCATGGGCATTGCCCCTATCCTCTACGGCGAAAGTTCGCCCGCTGGGCGGACCATCCAAACCATCTATGAGCTTCTCGCCGAAACTCTTTTAATGCTGTGGGACCAAGTTGCAAGGACCAACTGTTTGGTATGTTGGAACAACATTAACTAAGATTGCACTGCCAAGAGTTGCCTTGCCGAAGCAGTGTTTTTTGTTGGCGATGCGACCAAGGTCTGCTTATCAAGACCAGATTTCCATTTTTGACTTTAACATGCGCCCTGGTCCATCTACCTTTGCTCGCCCAGATTGCACAAATCAAGACGCCAGCCAGTGTCCTAAAGGCACCAATCCTGGCAGGACACACAGAATGGAACTTGTTTTATCCAATCTGAAGCTGATGCATCGGGCAAAATGGTATTTTGCTATGTTTTTTTTCGGCTTTTTCTTCTTGACTTGTTTTCATTCTGAATTGATTTGCACCAATTGAACTTACTATAACGAGTCCCGCATAAGAGTGGATTGACCCACCTTGCAGGACCTATCGCTTCTATACCGGCAAGGCGGTGATTCCTTTTGGCTTTGGCCTTTCTTACACTACCTTTCGCTACTCACTGGCCACGGTTCCAAAGTCTTTGTCGCTGGAACCTCTTGGAGATCTCCTAACCTCGGATCTCTTTCCACGATCGGCACAGCTTCAATCAACGATGAGCAGGAGCAACTGGAAAGAGCAGGCACAGTATGCCGTTAGGGTAACGAATACTGGGGACCGAGACGCAGACGACACGGTTTTGGGCTTTTTGATCCCGCCAGATGCTGGAAGGGATGGGATTCCTTTGAAGATTCTTTTTGGCTTCCAGCGCGTACATGTCAAAGCAGGAGCAACTGAAACAGTTTGGCTGTATCCCTCCATGTTGGACTTTGCAACCGTTGGCAAAAACGGTCAATTTAAAACACATCCAGGTGAATACCGGGTGCAATTTGGAATTCCTGAAACAGTGCCTTTTGGCATGGGATTTGCAGAAGACAAGCTTTCAGCCATGCCCACTGTGGCTTACGTTTGAGGCATATTAAGGCTGCATCAGGAGTTAAAATGGGCAAGCCCGCAGCACGAGGGGCTTGTAAGGATCCGACACTCTTGGCATGCTGTTTTTTTTCCTCGCAAGTGTGCATTGGAGTCATTGCATTGCAAGCAACTCGTCAGGACCTACCTGATATTATGGCAGGGCCGGATGCGGCCGTGCTTCCTGCAAGGCCTGTTGCAGAGGCCGGTGGTACTTTCCAGCCGGGAAAGTGCTTCCATGACAAGCTTTGCATTGACATTTCATGACATTTCATGACTCATGACTCTCATGACAGTTCCCTTCAGGTTGCATTGCAATCTACAGACGGTGTCCATGTTTGCTGATTTGCAGTTTCGCAGCTTGGGTGATGGCATATCCACCCTGCCGGCAAGCTCATATGGCCCAGAGCTCGAACATTGAAGTGCCAAATCTCAAGCAATTCCCATACAACTTGTCTCAGGACCGTTCACAGGACAAGACTTCAACTTTGAACCGAACTTGTCTCAGATACCGACTGTGCGAGGCTCGCTGGCTTCAGTCTTTCTGCATTTGATGCGGGCCTCGATCTGAGTTTTTTTTTCCTCTACAAGCATAGGAGTTTTTCTGATGCGAACACCTTTGCTGTTTGACACCTTTTCAGAGGAAGCACAGCTTGCAAAGCCGACTCGAGCTTTTCAAGCCAGGGAACGATTTTTGAGTGGAACAAAACCAATCGGATTAGTGTTTTTGCCATTGCTAGAAAGTCCTTCCCGATATTGGTATCTGCAGCTGTGCAAAAATCAACCTTGGTTGGACCCACCTCTAATCATGTTCCTTGAGTGGTGTAGGGGGACTCCTCAACTATTGTTTTCAAGGCATTCACAGAACCTGCCTGGGTTTACCCAGCCCACAGTGGCACTGCGGCACTGCAGCGGGCCAAGGATTGGAGTGAACTGTGCGAGCACGTCATATCAGTGCAGTACACGCCTGTTCTGCGGGAGTTGAAGGAGCCACTCAGCCCCAGAACCGGCTCCAGCAGCTCCGATCCGAAACATGGAGGGTCCAAAATTGATAGCCTAACAAAATCATCATGTCATTCTTAGGGCACCCAGCTTTGATCAGTTTTGAACCTTATGTCACTTATGTCCATATATCATCATATATCCATATGTTCTTTTCCGGATACATCATATCCAGGGAGGATCCCTGCAACCCCAACTGAGTACGGTGATTCCGATGTGACGACGGACACATCAGTAGTGACTGCATCAATTCATCATTGGAACAACCCTACGAAACGCGAGATGTCAACTAAGCCCAATTTCCATGTCTCATTTGTCAATGTTGGAGCAAGCCTCTATGACTATCTATAACCATCTATGATTATCTAATGTGTGAACATCTATGCAGAAACAGATCAGATTATTAGATCTGCAGATAGATGGCGCGCAGTTGCGGAGAAGGAGGTGTTGAGGACTGGACATATTTCTTAGATTGTCTTCTTATGTTTAGTTATGGCTCCCTGTCATTGTTTGATGGTTCTTCAATGCTTGACATTGGTTCGGCTTCAAGTAGCAATTTTGTGCTCAAGCGGCGTGCAGAATTTCTGCATTCTCTGTTGGAGACCGCAGATGTCGGAAGAGGCCGCAACGTATCACATCTCGGTGAAGAACACTTTCCTTGACTTTTGCCCCATGGAGGACGGACGAGATAGCGCGTTGTGTGCTGGTGAAGAATAAACGAATGTCCTGATGATGCTAGATAGAACATATAGAACGGGCATGTATGTAATCTAGCCGTTCACCGGTGCAATACGTCTTCTTACTTTGCCCGGTCAGGGATCTTCAAGATGTTATCTCGCTATCTCTACGATGCTAGGAGGTAGGCATTCGTTTGGGTTTGGTTTTGGGCCCAAAGGCAATCAAGTTCTAAGCTGAGTGGGAAATGCAGTGATATGCAGTGATGATACGATGTATCGATATGTATCGATGCTGTGCTTTGTTGTTCCTTAGTGCAATGGCGACCTTTTTGCGTCTTGTCTCACACTACTCACACGAGTTCACACGAGTTCACACGAGTTCTTGTGGTGAGGAGGTTCCACCGGTTCCACGAAGGAAGTCGTGGAGCTCTGGGGATCCCTGGCCTACGGGAGTGGATCTTTTCGATTCAAAACAGGGTCAGGAAGCTGGCCCGCCTGGCCGCCCGCACCAAACGGGCGTTCATTGGCTTGAAAATGACACATGTGATACCACGAGCCATGAGCATGAGCCTCATGTGGCTGTGGCTCATGAGAGCTTGAAATTGGAAAGACATCGCACGGGCAGATGCAAACCCTGTGTCTTTTTGCCAGTCGTCATGGGTGTGCTGATTCCTCCTGCGGATTCTGTCACTGGGCTCATAAGTCTCCAAAACGGCGTCCGCAAAAGCAGACGCGCGACTTTTTCAAAGCCGCCGTGGAGGAGGTCTTCCAGCGTCAGGAGCTTCGGGCTGTCGATGTCGGTGATATTTTAACTGGACCCCATTGGTGAACGTAACTTGGAAGAGATTTGCTGAGATTGAGCCACATTGGCATGGGAGGCAGGTGAAGGTGGGTGAATGTCAGCCATTGAGATCCAGCTCCCTGAGCCTTTTCATTTGGGCTGAACCACTCCATGAACATTTTTGTGCTACAATTGCAAGTTTGATCCTTTTTGCATCTGTCTGCATCTGTCGGCAATGCTCTCCTACACAATACGAAACTTTCGAAGGACGGACAAGCTCTGCGCATCGCCCTGCAACGCTTGGCTACACGAGACCAGTACATGCACTCGTTCATCATTGGACAGATAAACCAGCACCTGGGCCTGTTTTGTGTTGTATCGTGGTTGCAATTCCTTTGGAATCCTGTAGAAACAGGGCCTTAAGGCTTATTGAACGATGTTGGTGTGGGAATATTTCGTGTTCGGTCCTGTCATGAGGAGTTATTCGATAGGAAAAGTACCTGCCACAGTGGTGCTTGTAAGTACTGCACAGTTCCTCATTTTCTTTGAGCACTCACAGGGTTTTCTCTTCTTTCTTTCGATCGGCGTGGAGGTATCCGGAGCGTTTTACTTGAACCAGCTACCCTGGCCCTATGAACGGCTTTCGACAAAGCTGGGATCTCAGGGTTGAACCTGTTGGTGCATTTCAGCAAGTCTCGGCATCTCCGTTGATTGTGAAAGACCCAGCATGCCTCTCCAATGTGCTGTATTCCTGACACAGGCAGATGTTAGTGGCACAAGAATGAAACTTCAATCCGTAGGATGATTTTTTTGGGACCCGTTTGCCGCGTGGGTGTCAAGCAGCAGCCAAGGCAGCTTTTTGATGCTTTTTGCTGTTTGAACAAGACAGCAGTCGAAGGTGACACGGGGTTTGGTATGACAGACCAATGTCTGCTTTTCCGGAAGGAATCACGCAATGAGCTGAGGAGCCCACCGTTTGCAACTGCTTTCTCCACAAAAAAATACTGCCGCGATTGCAGGTTCTTGAAAAGGCACTGTTTGGATAAAGCCCTTCCGCATCTTTCAGTGACGATGTTGTTTTTGGTGCCGGGTTTCTGAGAGGCTCGCGGCTGTTGTCACATTTTGCATATGAGTATTTAACGGGTGGCGGGGTGGGGGGGTAGGGGGGTGGGCGGCGAGGGGTGAGGTGGGGTGGGCTAATAACGTTCTTTGCTGTACGTTCTCTTGCCCTTGCACGCATACGTAATGCTACACTGCTGTGCGTTCTTTTGGACTTGCGCACATACATCGTGCTACGCTGCTGTAACGTTCTCTGCACACATACGTCATGCTACACTGCTGTATTTTCTCTTGCACTTGCACACATACGTCCTGCTACACTGCTGTACGTTATCTTGCCCTTGCACACACACACACACGTCACATGTCATGCTACTCTGCTGCACGTTCTCTTGCACTTGCACACACATACCTCGTGCTACGCTGCTGTACCTTCTCTTGCGCTTGCACACATACGTCATGCTACGCTGGTGTACGTTTTTGCATTTGCACACGTGCATCATGCTATGCTGCTGTAGGTTCTCTACACACATACGTCATGCTACGCTGCTGTATTTGCTCTGGCACTTGCACACGAAAGTCGTGCTACGCTGCAGTGCGTTCTCTTGCACTTGCACACATACATTGTGCTGCGCTGCTGTACGTTCTCTTGCTCTTGCACACATACGTCATGCTACGCTGTTGAAGCTGCTGATGCTGCTGATGATGATGGTGGTTGTGATGATGATGATGATGAAGAAGAAGAAGAACTTGTTGATGAAACCAGCGTGTTTTTTTTCCTTTTCAATTCAACAGTGGCGCGCCTCTCAGAGACCCGGCACCTTGTTTTTGATGCATATGTCAAGATCTTTCAAGTGGAGAAAACTTTTGCTTTCTGATAGAGTGCGCATCAGCGCATGATATTTCTGTCATCCTCAAAGCTTCAATTGTGTGTAGTAATGTGATGCATATAATGTGCATCCTTTCGATCCTTAGTGCCTTCGAAGGTGAAATAATCTTGTAAAACCTGCAAATCATTGCAAATGCAGGTCCTTCTATTTTGCTTTTACCACCGGTGAAGGTGGTTAACAATGAATCAGTGCAGCAGACCGACGCACAGACGCACACAGAATTTGTTTGACTCCCCTGCAGATACATGCATGCATTTCCACAAAACATATTTCAGATGCAATACAGCGTGGCGCTCATGCTTAGCCACCAATTCTGTGTGGCCAAAATCACCTTCCTGAGGAAGTTGAATGTTTGTCTGCAGAGTCTAAGTTTGCTTGGGCATGATTCTTAGGTCGTCCTCAAACTTGAATTGTGGACCTTGCCACCAGTGAAGATGGTCAAAAAAAGAGTGATTGCAGGCAACAGATGTACACAAGTTTATTTGGCTCCCCTGCAGACTCATGCATCCAGGCATCTCCATAGAACAAGTTCTGGTGAGCACTTAGTTGCAAATGCTTTGTGATGCTCTTGTTTCTCGTGGCATTCAACCATATGAGAACTGAGATGAGCTCCTGGTTGCACATATAATATATATATATATACATTCATATTGATATGTATAGTTATATATATACACATACACAGAATATATACTGTAATAATGATAAGATAGTATATATATATAATTATATGTACAATTCCCAAAACTAGTGCCTCTTGGTTTTTGCCCCTTGGGTCTGGAAGTGGTGTGTCAGTTGCTAGCCACGCCCAAAGCTGGAAGGAACCCTAGACCCTGAAACACCTCTTTGAGGTTGCAAACCTGGATGATTTTTCTTGCTTCGGGGTTTCCCCAATCCTATTTTAGTTGGGATAATGAGCGGTTGGATACATTGGATACGATGGATGTTTTCTACTTTGGGTTGGGATCATGGTCATTTCATGAATCCAGTTTTCCCATGGGTGGCTCATGCTCACCAATGATCAGGAGCTGCTGCCGCGCGGAGGTCAGGTTTTGCTGCCCGGAGCAGGCCGAATCGCGTTGCTGTTGCCTCACGCGGATGTGTACAGTATTTTGTTTGGCCTCAAGATGCCTTCATCTTTGGTTTACTCGATTTATACTAGGTTTTTCAGATTTGTTGGGGCGGTTTTCATGATTTTGGGCTGGATTCTGTTGGTTTTACGGATATCTATTTGAAGCTGCAGCGCTGAGGCCTTGGCAGGTTGGCAATGATGTTGGCAGCCGAAGGTTTTCAGGTGGAGGCCAATGTCGCTCGCCCAGTTGGTTCATATCCCCATGGCACGTTGGTAGCACTTCAAGGTGAGAGAAAGACTGCACTACCAATCTGCACTGAGGATGCTTCCCGGTTGTTTCTCACTTTTGCTGACTACATCCTGAATCGAGCTTCTTGGTCTTGAGCGGATTACTGGTGGCACATTTGTTGCCAAGTTCAGTTCTCTAGGCCATTGATGCCCCTTGTTGTCCATGCACTCCAACATACGTGAAATGTAAGGCACCACGATCTGGAACGATGCTGTTTCCGCTCGCTCATGTTTTCTCTGAGAATTGGGGTATCTTTGGCACCAAGAGCTTGCCTGTACGCTGTTCGACTATGTTCCACTCGTGCTTGTCTTGTGGCAATCCATTTGGACGAACAAGATCATCGCACCATATCGCACCACAGGTCACGCGCAGCAGTACACCCAAATCACGGTGCCAACCATTGCTCCAGAGAGCCTGGTGAATTTGAATGGGACGAGGCTTTGGGCGTGTACCCGAGCGGCCCGAGCTGAATTGTCACTGCATGTGCCTTGATCCAGTTTGGAGATATCAAGTTGGACACCGATCTTTATGATGCTAAAATCATGATGAGTTTTTTTCTATTTCGGAATATGTCCAATGTGTTCAACAATCTAAAAACATCTAAAAACACATCTGTAGATTTTAGTGACGCACAATTTCAGTTGCAGGCCACCACTTCTAATTGTCCCGGGTGATTTTGTGAAGACCTACGAGGCTCCCTCCTCTTGCAGCTATACTTAGTGGATCTTAGTGGGCACTGAGGAAGGCTAGGGTACCATCTTTCGTGATGTGCCAATACCACAGGGCGTGAACATCCATTTTTATATGCCAGCGATTTTGATGTGGGAAGGGAAACAGGGTTTTGACGCACTGCAATTTTGAACCTAAATTATGTAAAATTCATACACGAAAAAGAAGTCGCACAGTACGTCTCAGCGCCTGGCTGGTCATTGTCAGGTGGGTGGGCCGGGATTCCGTCGCTTTGATGCGGCTTGGCTGAAATTGTATCCGCTGGAGCTTGCACCGATCCCTGTTGTGAGGTGGGTCTGGAGACAAAACATTACACATCATTAAACACACCTACTGTATCAATTTTGGCGGAATCTAGCTTGCAGTCCCTCTCAAAGAAAGGTCTCTTCTGAAGCCCAGGATTCTGAGTCAAAGTGCAAAAAATGTCAGGCATTGCAGGCAATGTACCTTCGCAGTGCCTTATTGTTTTCAACCGCTTTCCGTCTTAGTAAAGCGGACTTTCTGTCTAAAGCGGACCCTTTTCATGATCGCAACTCTCGATGTTTGTCTCTCCGTTTCACTCCGGATCTGTGCTGAGGCTTTGGTAACCTGCTTCTTCATTGATACTCCGAAGGATGTTGAGGAGCTCTTCAGAGCATCTCAGCAGTCCAGCAATTTTGAGGACTCCATGTGGTCCCAGGGTTTGCTTCACGTTAGAGATGGAGCTTCACCGAGGTAATGGATGGCCTGCTGGAGGAGGGAGGTGTTTGGGTGAATCTGGGGCCATTGAACTGGCGAAAGGAGGCCAGGGCGGAACAGCGATGGGAACGCTTCAAACCTAAACTGTGAATAACTGTGATAAGCCGTCCATGGATTTCTAGAACTGGAAAGACAGCTCCGTGGATTATTCGGCCTTGAAGGCAAGGATGAAACTTGCCTGGGAAGAGATCGATTGGGCCTCAGCATTTCATGTCCATTGTGTCCATTGTTTGCTTTCCCCTTGCCCACCACCCTACCAGCAATTTTTCTGAGTTCTTTAGTTTCCCATCGTCTCAGGTGTCTATTTGGCAACAGAAGGGCTTTGAGTTCCTCTCACAGCACCATAGATGCAGCCAGTGATGCACATTGCGAGAAGTCATGAAACACGACTCAAACAGGTCATCTTGGGTGTTTCAAGTTTCAAGATGTTTCAAGCCAATACTTTCCCATTTCATCCCATTTCATTTTTCGTTTCTGATGGTCCGGGATTCATAAGTGGCCCTGCCAGCCTTGAAGCGCTTCACTGGCAAGGAAGCGTATTGAGTGTGACTACCATATTCCGCGCGGTGAGAAGACGCTTTCCGGAGATTGGAGTGTTTGCTTCGTTGACACACACGCACACAAACTCACATGTGTGTGGTTTTTCTCCAGCTAGATTGCAATGTTTATGACTCAATACGGTCTTTCAGACAAATCCATGAGTATTGGCCACACAGTTTCGACTTCGGAATGTCAGGCAAGCTAGCATTGACCTTTTCTCAGATTACATCACCATTGTCTAGGTCTAGGTCATCGCCATCGTCGTCGTCGCCGTCGCCGCCGTCGTCATCATCACCATCACCATGACCATGACCATGACCATGACCATCACCATCATCATCACCATCATCATCATCATCATCATCATCATCATCCTCACAAGATCAATATCGGCTCAGAGCTTCAGGATGTACACGGAATCCTACAATGTTGTTCTGAGTGTGGCTGTGAAGCGATCAAAGCCTAAAAACTGATCGCAGAATATCGCAGATACCCTGGGCCAGTGGCTGGGATGAGGGGTGATGACCGGTGATGACCAGGGTCACTGTACATAGCTTACTTGTCGCAATGGAAGAAAGGAACCTGGCTGCGAAGCATTTCTCGCCACTTTGCCACTCCAACATTCGTGTGGAAAAAAATCAAGATAAGCATCTAAAAAAATGCTCAAAACTAGGATACCTATACCTATCTCAGGAATGTGAGCATGCTTATGAATCGCCATTGCATCTTTGTCTAAATCAAAAGTCAAGTTCTCTGAGACATAATGTGTGTGTTGAAAACGTTTTCTGGAGATACAGAATTGCTTGGAATGGTCTGTTGGCGACTGAGATCCAAGAAATGCAGCGTCGCCTCGCCCGAGCTGTCATGGCTTTGGGTCCAGAGGCGCTTCCTTGTGAGCTGTTTGACGAGTGCACGGAATAGGCTGTGTTCAAATGCACAAGTACTACGGGTGCATGTTTGTTCACCTAGCATGGGGAGATAAAAAGGTTTCCCAGACTTGCATCGATCAAAACTAGTGTACCTCCTGACCTCCCAGAACAATCATGGTGTCTTGCGGACAGGTGCAGGTCACCTATGTCAAAACTTCTTTTTGCAAATCTGCGAGCACAAACGTGAATGGAACAGAGAGCTATTTTGCTTGACACGCGCCAAGAAATGATAGTTAAATATGTTAAATATATCAATATATCTGATAAATCTGAATCGTGGCACTTGATCATATTTGATCAGCATTTCTGAGTCTTTGAATCTTTCTAGACATTGCGAGATTGCTGCCCATATTTTCAAGCCAGTGCAGATCTGCACATGTCCAGGCCTTCGATGCTCGAGGTATCTCCAGTCTCATGTATGTCCCTGGGCACGAATGACAGATGACATGAGATAGCAGAAAAACGTACGATTTATTGCAACCCCCCTTTGTTGTCCAGGATTTGCCAGTTCCAGCAGCACATCCTGACTGGAAATCTGTAGAAGCACAGACGGTAGTGCTGTCACATTGTCGGATCTCAGCTTTGCACCGGGCATCAAGGCTTGGGGCTTGATGCGCTTCAAGTCAAAGTTGCTGAAGCCATTTTGCATCAGTGCCAGGACCTGCCAAGCCAACAGCAAGGTAGAACAGTATTTGTTGATCCTTGTATATTCTTTTTTTTAAGCATTTTCTAACATCTCTCAACCTGTTGCTTGACTCTTGTTTGCTTTTCCTTCAAGTCATCCCTGCATGCACATTTGTTTATGAGGCCCCCTTGCGAAGAAGAGACACGAGTCAATCTAGCTCGAGTCATAAGAGATCACATAGAATCACGTTCTTCCTTGAGGACTCGCATGAAGGAGTTTGATAACCAGAGCTCGGCGCCCTAGGTTTGTTGACAGTGTCATAAACTCTCGCCATTTGGAGAAAACGAAAACAGAATGCTTGTTCCATCACAGAAAGCTTCACCAGCTGTTCCTGCTGGAAGCGGACCTGTCTGCAGATGACAGTCACAGGGGAACCTGTTGTTCTGCTATATTTTGAAGAGAGTTCATGCGAAGAGCAACCTCCATACACTAGAGTTTCTCCGAAATATGGCTTTCAAGAGCTCCACTCACCTGGGGTAGAGCATAGCCTAGCTCTTGGGACTGGACGCGTAGGATATTTTTCAACTCCCTTGTTCCTTTCCCTGTTGGCAACAAGAGCCAGGCATTGCAAACATGGTCTTTGGCATTGGACTACTAGGCCTTCGCAATTTCCAATTTGAAAGTGAGCACATCTAAAGGGAACTCTCGCAGTGTGAGCTACTTGTGCATTCTCAACCTCAATGAATGAGTTGTCCGATTCCGACGTGCATGAGTTGCCTGGTAATTTCATGGGAAAGGACCCCTGGGCCGAAAAACAATAACGTGTAGTGCAGGGCGTGCATGATGTGCATCTTGTGGATTCGATGTCGTACTTGAAACTGGCCCTAATCACGCTTGCCTTTTGCGGAGGTCTTAAAGGTGAAACGCGTGTGCTGGATGAGATTGGTCGTCAGGTGTGTGGCACTGAGTTCGGATCCGAATTTCAGAAGCCTCACAAGTGTTCAATCAATTTCAATCATGGTTCACCAATGTTCACCAGTTCATCGACTGCTCCTCAATTTCGTGCATCAACGGACACAGTGGCACAGACTTGGCTTTTCCCCGCCTCTTCAAATTGAGGCCACCCAGACTCAACGAGTTCCATATCGAGGCGCATCGGGACTGGGAGGTTTGTGTTGTATAAATTCGACCGTGTTCGAACTACACATGTGGGCTTGAGGTGAAAGATGAAGGGCAACTCGTGCCATTAGCAGAGTCTTGATTCAGAAACCCTGTGGTTGATGTTTGTTGATGCTTTCTGCACCATGGACCTTCTAGCAGTATTCTAGTAGTTGCCTTGCAGAAATTAGAGAGCTACAGTACCACCTTTCACTTTAATCCTTCACTCACAAAATGTCAAGGGTTAGCCCCGATATCCCGATGATTCCCGATGATATTGGGGCCAATCCGGGGGTATGCCAATATGTGCTTGCTGAATGTGCAGGAAGTGGTCAGCATAGCGCAGAGCTCAGTCATCCAAGAAGTTTATAGGTCAGAGCTTCCACGAACCAAGTCCTTCAACATAGTTTCTCTATCTTTCTCTTATCTCCACCATCGGCATGGCTTTGAACCAGATCAACACAGACAGAGAGATGCTTTGTTTGAGTCACTTGAAGACAGACGCGGAACTTCTTGGGTCTGGGTCAGCCTGTGTGCTGAGGTCTACTCACTTGGGAAGTTGGGCTACTCGCCAGCAGGTGGATTGATGGAAGCGATTGGCGACTATGTGGGGCACCCAGAAAGCACATTGCGGATCAAGTGGATGGTCCAACAGTCTCGGGCAGATGATGGCAGATGTGTGCCAGGCTGTGTTTGATTTCTTTTCTATTTCCGCATGCAATGTGCTGTGGAAGCTGCAAATGCAGATGAGGTCATTGAACGAGTAGAAGACTTCGATCCAGTGCAGCTCACAAAGCTTGCAAATGCCTCAGAGTTTCGGACATGTCCGGACCACTTGCACATGCCTCATTTGTCAACTTGCATCCATTTTGTTGTTGTTTTTTTTGCACCAGCCATTCTTCAGTGTTGATCGTTCTATGAAACATGGAGTACTGCACACAAGAGCTTCCCCGGTTCTTTACATAGCTCGGAAATTGTATCTTGAGACACATTTTCTTCAACATGATGTTTTCCCGATGACTGTAAGATGATTTGCAGGTAGTTTCAGTGAACGAGCTGGATTTCAACAAGCGAAGGTGACCCGTAGTGTTGGAAAGTAGAAGCTATGCAACTTACACTGTTACAAGCGGCAGGATCATGCTTCCGTTTGTTAACTTTGTCGCGTGGAAACCTGTGAGGTGGCACGAACATTCCACAAATAATGAAATAAGTTCATCTAAGAATTTGCAGCGTAATTTGCAGATAGCTTGGGGATACCTCAAGAACAAATCTGTTTGTGTAATGTAAGTGAAAGACAACAGATGACAACAGCTCAATGTCAAAAGCATTTGTTCACGTATAGACCTCACTGCAGCGTGGCTGCAAACCCACAGGTTAATGCTCGTGCTGTGGAACCACCTAGCAAGGCAGCACTTCGTTGCGCTTCGCGGACACACAGAGCTGTACATTTGTAGTCATTTGTATTTGTGCTATATGCTAATCGTGCATCCTCCATTGCGCTTTGCCATGTCAGGGAGATCAAAAGCTTCTCCACCCACCAACTTGTAGTGATAGTGCCGGCCTTGTGAAGGGTCCAACGGGCATTTCGGGCTGGAAACACAGCTCTCCAAAGAGCCATAAAAGAATGAGCCAAACAACGATGGGTCAAAGAAGTCCTCTTGCAATAAGTGGCTAGTTGACCAGCTACTTCAATATTATGCATGTGGTAGGCAAAGTCGTTTGTCGTGACTACAATGCAAGCTGGGCAGCTATTAGGAAGCCCCCTGATAGTGCATTCATTAGAGCGACACTGCACCCTGGCGCTTGTTGGGGAATGACTTAACCATGTCAGCAGGACCGCCTTCCATTTTGGATGATACTACAATATGATTCATATGATGATACTATGATGATTCTATGAGGATACTTCTCTTCATGAATCTCCTCTTTGCTTATCTTTCCTTTCGGTTTCCATCTTGCCCGGTCACCGTAGCATACGGTGCAGCCACTCTGCCTCAGGTGCGAACCGCAGCCAAACGCCGTGTGCGACACGAGAAGTTTGCCAAGGCAATGGCTGGACAGGAGCATTCTGTCGCAAAGTCTGTTGTTAATTCTTACAGCTGGAGAACAAAGGAGTCTTGCAATGTGCTTTAGCAGTACAACAAAATATCATTGGGCTTTAGACTTTGTGCAGAGCGAGTAGCTGGTTGCGATTTGCCGCATTGCAATGGAAGCACCTGCAAAGATTCATCGCGAGGAATCAGCGATTTGTTTGGGGCCATTTTTGACCAGCAAGGAGACAGTTTTGTGATCGCGTGAGGCTGTCAGTGAAGAAGTGCTGGATCGTTTGAACGAGCTCAACCGCGACTGGGGCTCAGCGTGCAGCATCGTGCAGCGAAATCAAATGAATTCAATCCATAGCGATCCATAGCGAAAGCTGAGACATTTTGAGACTTGTGAGGATGTTCGACTCACGCAGATCATGGACAACTTGAAGATTTTACAAGGATTAGTGTCCAGTCCAAACCTCAAACCCGTGCCTTCCTTTTGATTTCTGTGATTTTGTACTGTAGGGGTTGATACTGAAAAGGTATAGCGAGAGATATATACATATATATATATGTACATATTATACATATAGAGACAAAAAGGGATGGATATTTTCTGAAGTTGAATTTCTAAAACATAGCAATATTTGCTCAATCATCAGCTGAGCTGAGGAAAGAAGCCCGTCCCAACAGATTGATGCGAAAAGTACCGAGTGCCATAGTCCATTGCGCAAAACTCGCTGCAGCTGTTGCATAGTGTGGAACAAACACATACATACATATATGATATATTATATATAATATAATATATAATATATAGTATATATAATATATAGTATATATAATATATAGTCTATATATAATATATAGTATATATATAATATATAGTATATATATAATATATATAGTATATATATATAATATATAATATAATATAATATATAATATAATATGATATAATATAATATAATATATAATATAATACAATAAAATATAGTACTCGTATAGTATAGTATAATATAATATAACATAATATATATATATATATATATGTACACTACAATATATATATATATATACACTATTATATATATATACACATACACTATAATATATGTATATACACATACATACACTATAATATATATATATACACACTGTACTGGTAGTACATATATTATACTGTATATAATATAAGTATAGTATCTACACTATAATATATATATATATTATACTATATATAACATAAATATAATATAAATATGATATACATAATAAAATGTAATTAATATAATATGAATAATATAATATCAATAATATAATATAAATAATATAATACAAATACTATAATATAAATAGTATAATATAATAATATAATATCAATAAAATAATATATATATATATATATATCCAAACTCCACAAATTCATAGAGGAAAAAAATGAATAAATTCAGTTTGTGTGTCTCTGCTTTGTTTTGCAGCTGGGAGTTCCGATTGTGCAGCAGCTTGACATATTTTCATGGCATCATCATTATGCTTTTTGTTTGAAGACAAACAATCTCAGTCTATAATGCTGCCAGCAGCGTTGAAAAGCTGTGCTGCCCACAATCTGCTGCTTGAGCTCTTGACTTGACTCCAAACCTTCTGACAGGCAGACGTTCAGAATGACGAAGAGGATGCCGAGGAACTCTCCCCTTTTCGATTTGGAAAATTGCTACATCGATCTACGTCGCCTTTTCCATGTTTGTGGTTTTCGATAATATCCGACAGAACATTCGCGCTGCATCATCCTTGACTGCCTCACAGTTTCAGAGTTGAATCTCTACATGTTCTTCTGCCCTTGCTTGGTTTGCTTGGAGCCTTGCAAGTTTAATTGTCCGGCAAAGTCATGATGCGTAATTCAAGAGTAAACTGTGTTCCAACTTTGTGTAGCGCAGATTTTGGACGCATTTGTTTGAACACAGTGTTTATCCAATGCATAGGGCATTTTCTATGCATGGGGAGAGTGGCCATACTTGGATTCCTGGATGGACTTTGCAGGAGGAGGAAGGCGAGGCTGCAGGCACTGCCACAAAGAAGAAAAAGAAGAAGAAGAAGGCCTGTGACGCTGTGATGCCTGGTTTTTGGTGTCAATGAAGGGAGTACAGCGCACACAAAGGCAGCAAACTCACGATGAATGACAGAGCGGAAGGACCACAGCTGAAACATGGGAGTCCAAGCATTCAACCGGAGATCTCAGGCTGACGTTCCACTTGGATTTTTATTTGTTTTAACGATTGCTCTGACCAGAAGAAAGAGAAAACTAGAAACGTCGGGGGGAGTAGACCAGCACCCAGAACTTTCATAGAGATTCACAGAAAATGTAAATCTCAAATCTCAAGTGGAGGAGCTGCTCCAAAAAGTGCACCTACCAGAAATGGCAGTTCTTTGTTATGAGATCCAGGAATTGGGCAAATTACATCACTTCACTTCCTGCAGCTTGCCTCAGAGAGTGACAATCATGCTTTAAAATGCATCCATTGAGCAATTAGTAATCCCGGCACAAGACGCAGTTGCATCATCACGCCATCGAATCATCTGTCAAACAAACATTGTATGATATGTAGATATATGTAGGCCTTGACGGCCTAACACCAGCGCAGAATTGCCTACATCACAACTTGCTTGGGCATCAAAGCAAACACGGCAAGATGGCCATGTGAGTTTTCAAAGAGGAACTGTGGAACAGCAGATGTAAAGTGTGTAAAGGACCTTGTATGAACACGGAAGCGACGTATCTTCCACCATTTTTCTTTATCAGCCAATGGCGCCATTCGCCTACTTGGAGCCAGAAGATGCTGATGAGGTCCTCACAGTTTTGATGCGACGTTGCTGGCCTCAGTAGCGTGAAAGATTTGCTGCCCTCTCTTACTTCGGCTTAAAGATCTGAAAGATTGAGCAGAAATTGTGAAAACTTAGCTGACTTAGCTGACTTAGCTGATTTAGCTCTTGCTTGTTCACATTCACACTCGTTCAACTTGTTCACTCACGCTTTGGCAGGGTGTGGAGGTTGATGCCTCCAAATCCTCTGCCAGCTGCAATGCAGATGATGCTTGGCTTGGTGTCCGAGGACGTCCTGGCGTGTTGAAAGGCCAGAATCCTGTGACAATCTGTGACAGTTGTTCGTGGTTGGAAGACACACCAATGACTTTCTGCCAACTTTTGGAGCTCTTTGAAATAGATGTGTATATATATATAGAAAATAGATATAGAAGCCACCACTTCAGGACTGTGATTCAATACGATTTTTGACCTTGCAAGTAATTTCACCAACTCCAGGAAGAACATGAAGAATGGTCTAGGCGGTCTGGGATGATTATATAATGAGGGATGGCTTTTGCCGCAGAACTTAGTGTCCATTGTGGAGGTGCCTATCAGTACGAGGTCGAGTTAAAGAACGAGTGCCTATTGCGTGTTGGATGGGCAGCGCTGGAGGGGCGCAGGGCTCTTGGCACCGATGAGCGTTCATTTGGATACGGCGGCACGGGAATGAAATCGAACTGCGGCAAATTTGAGCAACTTGGTCTGCAAAGATGTCCAGCATTGCAAGAACCACATTTGGATCCACAGCTGCTGTACGGCTTGGCAGCTTGAGGGCCGGGCCAAGCAGATTATGACATGAGAAAGTCATAGAAAGTCCAAGTCTTCCATTCGATTGGAACGTTTGGAGTATCCCAACCTCGCACTCAGGATGACTTCCTTGTGACTACCTTGTGGCTGTGTCAGTGAATTTTACGCCCAGGAAATATGGCGAGATCTTTGAAGCGCAGACCGGTGCAGTGGTCACCTGCTTACTCGATCGCCAAGATCCGCGTCGATCCAGCATCAGCCCCATGGCCTGCATGGAATAGTCATGCCTTGAGTCGCATTGAGCTGACGGCGCAGCCATGCGCAGCCTGCTTCAGATGCATTTGCACAACCACAAGCTACAACCGAAGAATATTGTTTGCTATTGGTCAACCAGAATATCAAGTAATAACTAGGAATATCAAACAGCTGTTTGGGGCGCAGTTCTGTTTTAGATCACTGATATTTTACATAATGTATTCTTGCGGACGTTCTTGGTAAAACCTTGGCCATGGGGCTATGGCTGAGGCTATTGTTTGAACGGCCGCAATCTTGGGGTGGCCTTCAGGTTGCCGCCTTGGTTGGCAGATGTCCCCCTCTTTCCGGCGATTTGTGGCCGTGAGGACTGGCAGGACGGGAGTGACTTCGGGGTACCAGGAGGGACCGTGGAAGAATCTAGTAGTGCATAAACACGAAACATGATACTGAGAAAAAATACTTCAGGAGCTGGAGAGATGAGAAGATAAAGAAGGCATAAGTAACATAGAAATATTATTCTATCTTTTAATCTTAAATATTTTAAGCCCTGTTCCACTCTGTTCCAACTGTTTGTTCCTTTGAACCCAGGCGACCTGCCGCTTTCGCGACTTGACCTTCCCGCACGGTGGCTTCTGGTCGCTTGAGGATGCGAATCGTTGCGATGTGGCGGAGGATGGCGGCGCAGCTAGTGCCGCGGCGGCAGTCTTTGCGGCAGCCCCGTTCGTGGAGGTCCTTCCATGTGGAGTGGACGAACATGGGGCGAGCTTCTGCTGGTTGGCTAAGTTGGCTATAGTTTATGAGTTGATGGATGTTCACTGCACCTGATAAACACAAAAGTTTCACATTACAGGGAAAACATAGTTTCACAGTTTCACAATATCCAACAAAGTTTCTCTAACCTGCTGGATTTCCTTTTGGATGTTTGACTCCAACATGCGGCCGTCATGAAAGCACCTGGAATTCTCGTAGTAGGAGCGTGAGTTGAAGCAGCTAGATGTGCCAGATGAAAATTTGGTGGAGCTACGTTCGGAGCAGGAGGTAGTGGAAAAGGACTTAAAGTCCTGGCTCATTCAAGACACTTGGTGAAGTTTCCTCGAGCTCAAAACTGTGATTTCAATCTGCTTGTATGACCATGTAGACCATTTGTTTGGAACAATACAGGTCTGCCAAAGTTGAGCTCATGGGAGTTTGAGTTTTCTTAATTCCAATTGAAGCAAGGTGAAGCAATCACAATTTGGCACTGGAAGCAAACAAAAGGGAGTGAACTTGTAAGGGACGTCGAAGGCTTTGCCGCGAACAGATGATGCGACACAGGTATGGTTTTGTTTTCTTCTTACTACCAGACATCTCATAGATATATTATGATACACATATTATGCAATCATATATGCATATCTGTGGTATATCAAAGACTGTTATATGTAATTGTATCAACGTCAATTATGATTATATCATATATAATATCCGTATATCTTTAAGAGGATTGTTGTTTTTTTCTTAAATGGACACTGAGGAGTATGGCATTAGCAGTGCCGACTTCCACGCCGAGTTTGGAGAGAAAAAACGCTTTGCCGTCTTGGCCTTGACCAGTCATCGAGTGGCAAGGAGTATGGTCAATGCGCCACCTCCCGGTCTGCTGGTGAACTTGAGGCACGGCTGGAGCTATTTGTGGTACAGCAAAAATGGATAAAAATGGTGGTTTAGATATTTTAGATCGAAGCCTGTAGCTAAATCTGAATTGAAGACACCAGATGCAATTTTCCCAAATCACATCAACACTGCGTTTGACTAACAGCGGATTTCCATTTTCCAAGTGTAACCCTGATCATTGTACCCAATTCAGGCCTGCCTTCAGCGAGGAGGCTCAAGAGATGCTGGCGTTGCGAAGACCCAACAAGGGAGCCACCACCGATGTTGTGGCCAGACGTCTCATTGCAGGCGGGCTGCAGACATCGACCTTGGTACGATACAGGAACTATAGGATGGGGAACAACCCCAATGTCCATAGAATACAAGTCACTATCGCACTGCCCTGTATGTAACATTCTGTAACTTGGTTTTCTCTTGCAAGAAACAAACACACATTACCCAAATAAAACCGCTCCCCTTTTTTCCTTCACACATTGGCCTCTAGGTTTTTATGTCAGCAACCCTTCTCCTTTTCTGCTGTGATGTCAGTACAGTCAATATATCAGACATATGTCAGGTTAGATATTAGTCCACATGTTAGTGCATACAGTATGACCAACATTTTTATGTCAAACGCTGTCAAATACTTCCCAGCGAGATCAACAGGAGCTAGTGTTTGAGACCCATGGCATTTTCAGTTGTCAGGTGCGCTGGATGGAGATATCAAGCTGACCAAAGAGCAGTTGCGGCAGATCCGTGCGAAGAACGACGTCGCACGTTGCGGCCCGCGGAAACCCCCACCCGCACCACCGATGCCGACGCTGGAGACCGAATCCGAGTCTGAGTCCTCAGAGAAGCCAAAGGCAGGGCTGGGGCTTGGAGCCAATTTGGAGCAGAGTTTCCAATCTTCACTCGTGTTTTTGGGCATACTCAAAATGGCAGGTGGCACAATCTTTTCTACTGGAATGGAGTTTTTCAAGACGCATTTGGGAGTTTCACAAGGTATGCAAACCCCGTTGTTTGGCATTATTTATTCTTGTAGGAGGAGCTTGAAGTGGGTACATGCGGGTACTTTTGTTTATGGCCAGCTTTGTAAATCTGACAACTGATAGTGTAGATGGTTCTAACTTTCGATATTCACGTATTTTGCATTCATTATTGATGGCCTGACCAGGAATCAGCTTCGAAGCTTTCGTCAGCAAAGGCTGCAGCTTTGCAACCAGCACCGCCAGCAAAACGTCAGGGTGAGGGGTGCCTTAGCTGCCTTAGCTATTAAAGAGAATATTGATAATCATCGAGTTCCTGATGATGTTTGTTGTTATTATGATTATGACGATGCTGATGCCGATGCCGCTGCTGCTGATGATGACGACGATGATGATGACGACGACGATGATGACGACGACGACGACGACGAGGACGATGATGATGATGACGACGATGACGATGACGACGATGACGACGATGATGTCGTTGTTGTTGTTGTTGATGATGATGATGATGACAATGACGATGACGACGACGACGACGACGACGACGACGACCACGACCACGACCACGACGACGACCACGACCACGACGACCACGACGACCACCACGACCACGACCACCACGACCACCACGACGACCACGACGACGACGACGACGACGACGACGACGACGACGACGACGACGACGACGAGGACGAGGACGACGACGAGACGACGAGGACGATGAGGACGACGAGGACGACGAGGACGACGAGGACGACGAGGACGACGAGGACGACGAGGACGACGAGGACGACGAGGACGACGAGGACGACGAGGACGACGAGGACGACGAGGACGACGAGGACGACGACGACGACGACGACGACGACGAGGACGAGGACGAGGACGAGGACGAGGACGAGGACGACGACGAGGACGAGGACGAGGACGACGACGACGACGGCGGCGGCGGCGACGACGACGACGACGATGACGACGACGACGTTGTTGTCGTTGTTGTGGTTGTGGTTGTGGTTGTGGTTGTTGTTGTTGTTGTTGTTGTTGTTGTTGTTTGTTGATGATGATGATGATGACGATGACGATGACGATGACGACGATGACGACGACGACGACGACGACGACGTTGTTGTTGTTGTTGTTGATGATGATGATGATGTCAGAATCATATTAAAATACGTTAAATATGTTCAAAAATCCCCGATCGAATTTCCCTTACAGAATGGAAGGTGTCGACCCTCTTACAAATGGTTTATATAGGGTCATTTTGTAGTTACAAAAAGACCCCTGACCAGGCCTTTTTGTAACAGGGCACCCAAAAGGCAAAGTTGTGGATTTTCAAGTGTTCATTTTGTAAGAGTTTTGAGGTGCCAAGTCATTTTATAAGACCATCGAGTTTGTCTCTTTGAGGCTTTTTGTAAGCTCAAGATGCTGTTTTTGAACATCAAATTAAAGGACCGGATAACCCCACAAGTCAACTTCTTCCAACAAGCAACAAAAGAAAGGCAAAGACGGCATGGGGTAAGCAAGAAAGAGAAAAGAGATGGTGAAGGATTGGTGTGGAGTAAGTTATGTGTGGACGAGTATGTGTGAGTAAGTTGTGTACGGATGAGTTGTGTTTGTGGGTGAGGTGTGTGGGTGTGCGTGTGTGTGTGTGTGCGAGTATGTGTGTGTGGTGTGCGGCCACGATCAAAGATGCCCCACGCCAGGAAGTGCGGCGAAGGGCAATCGATGCGTGACCATTGATTATGTGTCCGCAAACGTACAGCGCAGACCATCACGAAAACGGATGGCCCACGACTGGCGTTTGGATGATGTGTGTGTGTGTGTGGGTGTGTGTGTGTGCGTGGGCGTGTATGTGTGCGTGTGTGTGTGTGTGTTTGTGTTTGTCTGTGTGTGTGTTTATCTGTGTGTGTGCGTGTGTGTGTGTATGTGTGTGTCTGTGTGTGTGTGAGTGCGGGTGTCGGCGTGGACCATGTACGCGATGAGGTCAGTACCTGGCAGGTAGTATCAGAAGTTGCGATCACGCTGAAATTGCAACAAAACAGCTGTCCATGGACAGTGCAGAAACAGCAAGTGACATACAAATAGCTGCAACTGTTTGCACAGAACCTGTTCTGAGCTGGGACGAACGCCATCTTTTCTTTCGATCACATTTGCATCGTGTTCAGGAGCATATAGTGTTTGTCCTGGCGCAACTGCTGAATAACGGTGGCATTGTGGTTGCCAAAAGCATTCAGCAGTTACGGCAGGAGGACTTAGCATCAAATGTATCTTCGCACGGCGCGTCAATCGATGTCTTTGTTCTCAACTCTCAGTTTGTAAGTACGTCCGAGACCAAAAAGGAGTAGATGAAAATCCAGAAACAGTCTCCATCCAGTCTGCCTGTAGTGATACCATTCTGGCAGACTGCATGCATGCTTTCCAGTGCTCCGACAGCTGTTATACCGCAAGAGTCTGCATCCGGTCTGCAGTGAAAAATCCAGAAAAATCCTCCATCCACGTGCCTCGATTGCATCAAACCTTGACGCAGAGCAAACACAGGAAACCCAGGGTCTCTGCCTGGACCGTCCAGCCACAGACGCTGGGAACTGACTCGCAAGGTCGAACTGATGCTGTATCTGTAACTGTTCCTGAAGATTCGGTGGCAGAATTGATTCTGCACTGCTCACGCACGTCAGCTCTAACCCGCGCGACCCGGCCCAACCCGCTCGCGGACCCAGGGCTGCGCCGCGCAGACCGTCGAGGCTGAAAAAAAAAAGCGGTTGCATGTTGAGTGGTTCAGCATGCTGTCTGTTGGGTAATAGCGTTGCGTCGTAGTCTTGACCTGGTCGGTCTTTTTCCAGGCTGCCCGCTCGGGCAGCCTGGCCCACCCTCCCTACCTCCCCACATGGGGCCTGCCAGCAACTCTGCCGCAACACTTACAGCAGAAGCACCGCCAGGCCACATCAGAGGAACCGCATCATCACAGAAACCGCCCGTCAAAGAAAAGTTCGAGACAAAAAATCTTTCTGCGGTCCAAGCAACACCTGGCAGCACAGAAAAAGGATCAAGATGACGAAAGCACAAAATAAAATAGTTCTTTGGTAGAGATCCACAGCGCAGCCTGCAGTTGTTGGCATCGACAGCAACAGAGCGCAAAAGTACCTAGCCGCAAAAGGACAGGACGCGTATATGGAGCTAGCTATCAAAGCAAGATGCGCAGAAACGAGACAATTCAGTCTCTTGCACGAATTGTCTCCTTTTATCTCCTTTTTGTGTGATCAAAATCCTGACAAGACCTGTAGCACTTTGTCCCGCAGTGGGGCCGAGTCTAAGCGTGTCACGAATGGTTTTGATTTGGCCGTCGCGACCCCAGTCTTCCCACATTGGGTCAACAATGAGTCTGGCAGCCAAGAAAACATCACGTGGCCGTCGTCATTCATGTCTTCCCACACTGAGTCAATCATGAAATGAGAGCTGACAAAAGATTCGCAGGCCGGCCCCACGCATGTCTTCCCACAGTGAGTCAACAATGCGCGCGGCTAGTGCGTCTGACGCCGTCAATGCGGCCGAATACAAACTCGCTTCATTGCTCTCGCCAGCCTCTCAAAGCTCTATGATACCTTGCTAGTATTTGTTCTCGCACTTCGAATGATCGTTGCTGTAACTCCGCTTCTACGTTCAGCAGATTATCTTTCAGCATAGCGATGACAGCCAAGCTGTTGCGGCTAATTGCCCTGATCTCTTCTAACAGTGGTATCAATCGCTCCAGAAGTACGACCAACGTCTGCACTAACCTCAATGCACTTGTGGCGCGTTCTAGCTCGATGAGCTTGCCAATGAGTTGATCATTTTCTGCCTCATACATGGCATTGTCCCTGGCACTATCTCTGGCAGCCATTTTAGGCAACACTATTGAGATATGTCTCGATACCGAAATTTCTCGGTTCCAAAAACAAGGCACAGTGGTTTCCAAAGCTTCAACCAAATCAATTTCAACAATTTTCTACACAGCAATCAACGTGAGAGGCATCAAGCAACTTTCGTCTGTCTGCAACACATGATTGTTTGTGGTACATTCCCTCGTCTGCCAACACACATCAATCAACAAGCCTCGGCGTGCTGGCATCAGGCAACATTTTCTAGCGACGCAGTCACAGCGACTTCATTTTATGACGCTACCTCTGTAGTCTTTTCCCAAATACGTGAACCGCACGCAGTGCGAGTGCGATTAGACTCTTTGCACGTTGCGCCAAGCCTCTCCGGTTCACTGCGCGTTCCAATGTCAGCTGCTTGGCATGTCTTTCCACATTGAATCAACAATGCCGGCAGCCAAAACAGCAGATAAGAAAGCTTACGTATAGACTTTATACGCTTGCATGCTGAATAGCCTCGCAGATTTCGGCGAAAGCCGGCTTATTCCATGGACAGACTTTGCCGTCCTCCACCACAGGCACACGAAGATAAACTGGATCATATAGCAACTTGGCACGTAAAGTCAGTCTCTGGCCATCTGAAGACACTAGCACGTGCAGGTAATAGGTCGACGTGGACTCATCAGCACGAAATTCGGACAGCATCCGCTTTCCCAGCTTCACGTTGCAGTGCAGCATCTCATAGAAACGTTGCCGGAGCCGCTTGGCTAACGGACCGTCTGGGCACCGAAGATCAACGTCTTTCAGTTGCACCCGATCCAAATTTCGCAGCATGAGAGTCTGAAGCTCGCAGAAGTCGTAGAGCGGACTGGTGCTAGGCTGCGGTCTGTAAGTCGCAGAGGTGGCAGCTCCCTTCCCAATGACCACACGAATGTTCACTGGGGGCGGCTGGTTGCTGGTGACGAGCTTGAGAACAATGTCAGATCCATCCGAGGGAACCAACTGGCTGAGTCTTGGCCGCGGGAACACCACCATGTCCTTGTCGGAGAGGTGAAAATTCGCTACGTTCCAGCAATGACACCAATAACCAAAAGGTATGGCATCGAGCCATGGTTGGCCCTTGAGAACAAAAACTTTTGCCACGACGTTGCCAGAGAGTGCCATCACTGTGCAGCGAACGTGGTCGTCGAGGGCATCTGCGGGAGGTGTGGAGCAAAGCACAGGGGACAAAGAGCCGACCGGTGCAGCGACGTGGCCGAGAGCCGGCAATGGAACTTTCTGCAGCTTCTCGCAGAGCTGCGCGCACACATCTTCCAGTTTGCATGGTAGCTGGAGAAGCACTGCAGTTTGCTCTTCCAGCGAATCTTCGCCATCAGATCGGCTGAGCTCTCCCGCCGACGTTGACAAAGTCGATGCGAGGTCCCGAGACAGCACCTAGCAGAAAAACAGTTTAATCCGGGACTCACACTGGGTGACAGCAACGGATCAAAGGTATCGAAAAGGTCTGGCAAAGAACACACTGGCGCCTTTATCGGATGTCGGCTGCTAGCGACGCCGGCAGAGCAACGCGTGTCACTCTGTGGAAGGGGCATGATGCGAGCTTGAAAAGACTACAACCTTTTTTCAGTGAACCAAAGCAAATGACGGTTTTTAAACTTGGTCGCATTACTGCAATGTCAATGAGCATGGTTCTTTGCACATTGCGCCACACCATTGCGCCAAACCAACATATAGAACACATATAGAACACATCTGTCAGCACAAACAAAAAAACATGTCGTTTGCACAAACCTCTGCTGCAAGTGCAACTCCCGGCCTGCGCATTAGTTCACCATTGACAAGCAACGCCTGGCAGCACTGAAAAAGGATCAAGACAAAACCAATGGTTGTAGTGGTGGTAACACTATCCTCTGCAATGTCTGCTTCGGCCGCCTCTTTCCATGTTGGGCTAAGGTCACCAAAGCAGAATGAATTACACTGCACCGATCGTTTCTTTCCACCTTGGGCTACAACGACCAGAACAACAAGAGATGATCCTATGACCGCATCTTTACCTTGACTGACTAGTTGTAGTTGTGTTGCAGTGGTATGCGTGCTAGAGCTGTTGTCTGCAACTTCTAGTTGGGCGAAAGCGACCATGTCTGGGCCCTGCCTGTCGTAGCGACCACGCGGAAAGAAGAAACATGCCGGAAGATAAACATGCAGCAGACATGCCAGAGCGACCACGCACAAAACATGTCGGTAAAAGCAGGAAACACATCGGAAAATAAAACATGCCGGAGCGACCATCAAACATGCTGGAACATAACAGGCGCAAACAGGCCAGTAGAACAAACGATGCGAAGACGAAAACAGGTCGGAAAAGACAACATGCCGGCGCGACCATAAGACAGACAGGCCGGCACATAACATGCGTAAACAGGCTAGAAATCCCAGGCGCCAAATCCCGGCCCAAGGGCGCCACCCAGTACCATAAGTGGCACGCCTGCCACGCAAAACGACAGTAGATGTGAGTTTGTGCCACGCCTGCCACGTGAAACGAAGGTGGATGTCAGGTTGTGCCACGCCTGCCACGCAAAGTGGCGCGGCGCCCCGGCGCCAAATCCCGGCCCAAGGGCGCCACCCAGTACCATAAGTGGCACGCCTGCCACGCAAAACGACGGTAGATGTGAGATTGTGCCACGCCTGCCACGTGAAACGAAGGTGGATGTCAGATTGTGCCACGCCTGCCACGCAAAGTGGCGCGGCGCCCCGGCGCCAAATCCCGGCCCAAGGGCGCCACCCAGTACCATCAGTGGCTCGCCTGCCACGCAAAACGACAGTAGATGTGAGTTTGTGCCACGCCTGCCACGTGAAACGAAGGTGGATGTCAGGTTGTGCCACGCCTGCCACGCAAAGTGCGGCGCGGCGCCCCGGCGCCAAATCCCGGCCCAAGGGCGCCACCCAGTACCATAAGTGGCACGCCTGCCACGCAAAACGACGGTAGATGTGAGTTTGTGCCACGCCTGCCACGTGAAACGAAGGTGGATGTCAGATTGTGCCACGCCTGCCACGCAAAGTGGCGCGGCGCCCCGGCGCCAAATCCCGGCCCAAGGGCGCCACCCAGTACCATCAGTGGCACGCCTGCCACGTGAAACGAAGGTAGATGTGAGTTTGTGCCACGCCTGCCACGTGAAACGAAGGTGGATGTCAGGTTGTGCCACGCCTGCCACGGTGGATGTCAGGTTGTGCCACGCCTGCCACGCAAAGTGCCACGCGGCGTCCACACGGCGCCGCACAGGCAGTCCAAGCGCGCCACCCAGTGCCATGAGTGGCACGCCTGCCACGTGAAACGAAGGTGGGTGTGAGTTTGTGCCACGCCTGCCACGCAAAGTGCCGCGGCGTCACAGGCGCCCAAGCCAGTCCAAGCGCGCCACCCAGTGCCATGAGTGCGACGCCTGCCACGTGAAACGAAGGTAGATGTGAGTTTGTGCCACGCCTGCCACGCGAAGTGCCGCGGCGTCACAGGCGCCCAAGCCAGTCCAAGCGCGCCACCCAATGCCATGAGTGCCACGCCTGCCACGTGAAACGAAGGTAGATGTGAGTTTGTGCCACGCCTGCCACGTGAAACGAAGGTGGATGTCAGGTTGTGCCACGCCTGCCACGCAAAGTGCCGCGGCGTCACAGGCGCCCAAGCCAGTCCAAGCGCGCCACCCAGTGCCATGAGTGCCACGCCTGCCACGCAAAACGACGGTAGATGTGAGTTAGTGCCCCAAGCGCGCCACACAGTACCATGAGTGCCACGCCTGCCACGCAAAACGACGGTGGATGCGAGTTTTGTGCCACGCCTGCCACGTAAAACAAAGGTGGATGTCACCAAGTGCCACGCCTGCCACGGATGTCACCAAGTGTGTTTTTGTGTGTGTGTGTTGTGTGTGTTGTGTGTGTGTTGTGTGTGTGTGTGTGTTGTTGTGTGTGTGTGAATGTCACCAAGTGTCTTTTGCGCGTGTGTGTGTGTTGTTGTGTTGTTGTGTTGTTGTGTTGTTGTGTGTGTGTTGTTGTGCGTTGTGTCTGTTGGTGTGTGTGTGTGTGCGTGTTGTGTGTGTGTTGTTGTGTGTTGTGTCTGTTGGTGTGTGTGTGTGCGTGTGTGTTGTGTGTGTGTGTGTGGTGACAAAGTGTATGTTGATAAAGCGTGTGTGGACAAAGTGTTTGTGGACAAAGTGTTTGTGGACAAAGTGTTTGTGGACAAAGTGTGTGGTGACAAAGTGTGTGTGGACAAAGAGTGTATGTTGATAAAGCGTGTGTGGACAAAGTGTGTGGTGACAAAGTGTGTGTGGACAAAGTGTTTTGGACAAAGTGTTTGTTGATAAAGTGTGTGTGGACAAAGTGTGGAGGAGGGCGGAGGAGGAGAAGGCGGAGGAGGAGCCCGGGATACAGAATCAAAAACAAGAACCCCACACAAAAATGTGGGGAAAAAAACAAAAAAGAATTCAGCAGGGTGTGCAATGACATTTTGTAAGGAGATGTCGTCAAGACTAGAAGAGCCTTTTTGTAAGAATATATGCTTTTTAGGCATTGATACAAAGTATTGTTCAGATTTGTACATGTTTTTGATTCGCCTCAATCATTTGATAGCTGTTTTGGCTATTTCCGAAAAGGCCCCAGCCCACAGCCCTGACACATCCCAATGGCGTGGCTTCTTGCGGTTCTTTTGGTGAGTTGGCTTTCTGGTGTTGGGAGTGCACCGGATTTGCCATCACTCGGCGTTGATGATTCTATATAAATCTATATGAAATCTATATGAATCTATATGAGTCTATATATGTCTATATGATATTTTGACTCATTTTTTCACGTTATAACATTCCTGATCATCCTTATCTTTGAAACTAGAAGTGTTAATGGGTAGCCTCTTACAAAATGGCAGGGGGCCAGGTGTGTCTTACAAAAAGGGTGGGTTGATCATCCTCAATACATATGCATACAGGTGCATATGCAAATCAGTAGCTATCCCTGAAGATCCATCCAGGTAACCAGAGCTACACAAACCTCATTTAGACTCCATATAGGTACTATATAGGTTAGGTTCACTACAAAATGCCAAGGTGTTGCTACCCTACAGGGGAGGAGTGTTTATTTTAGGAAGCTTCCTGGGGCTACCAGCACCTTGTCATTTTGTAAGGCACAGTTCAAGTTTTAGGGCAGCCATGGCAGCAATTTTTGGATTTGGTGGAGGCACCAACTTTCTTCTTGGTGTTGTGTTGGCCGAGGATGGCAAAAGATCTTTTGCAAGTTGTAAGTATGACGACGTTCATGGTTATCTTATGTGTTTTTTTTGTACATGTTCTTTCGTGTTCAAATTTTATTTTTATTTTTGGTACTCATGTGATAATACAAACGCGAGACATCATAAAAGGATTTCTGGTAGGCAATGAGGCCAAAGAAGCAAAAGTACAAAAAATATAAAGCAAACCAAAAAGTGGCAAAAAATGGAATCCTTACAAAACGGCTGCTTGAAATCAACGAGTCCGGGAAAAGTAGAAACAGGGAACCATAAGTTGTGTCCTTACAAAATGATGCCTGAAAACGCCATCTAAAATCACAACTTCTTATAAAAAGGTCATCGGCAAATGTACGACCTCCATATTTGGAAGAAAGTCGTCACCTTATAAAATGAGGTGGGTGTTTGAAGTCGAATGAGGGTGCTAAAACCCTATGCTTTTTGTAAGGGCCAAAACTCGTAAAAACCGACCCTTTTTGTAGGGTTTTTCAAAGACCCAGGGATTTATACTACAAAAAGCCTGGTGCGACACCTCCCCCCTAATTCGAAGGAGGATGTTCAAAATGCCATGTGTCAGAATCTTCACTGGACCAATGAAGAGCGAAGAGCGCCAATGAAAGCTCAAAATCGACTTGTATCACTTTATGTCAATATTGTCAATGTTTATCAAATTGTCAGATGTGTGGAGGGACAAGAGCAGTGTTACCTTGACATATTCGACACGGCATATTCTGCCTGGTGCTTTCCCGAACTTGAGGCGAGAGGACTCCAGACCGAAGGAGCTGGGGACACCGGCTTGATTCAGACATATGCATGAAGTTGCCAAGCATCCAAGATATCCAAGGGAGAGAATGTACGTGAGAAGCACTATCAAACTCATTATGTATAGTTTCATAATATGCCTTTAGTATATGTTTATCTCGTTTTATCTCTTTATCTCATATCTTTATATGATTGCCGTTACTTGGCACCCTTTGTCAGGAGTCCCGTCCCAACCCTGCTGGTGGGCGCTTGTTGGCTGGCGCTCTGCGTGCCATGGGAGAAAAGTTTGGGTCTCAGTCTTTGTGTCTTGGAATCTTGAGATCAAAGAGAAAAAATCAACAAGATCCAACCCTCCAATGGCTCCAAGATACTGTACTCATCTGTACTCCAATCCTTCAAAACGTTTCAAAGCATGTGGCACTCTGCGAGGTCTCGTCGCTCTGTGAAACCTCAGAGTGAAGGTCAGAAAGGCAACAACTCTGGACATTCTGGACTGGGTGCTTTGCTCTGGTCCTATCAGGAGTTGAGAACCAGGGAAAAAATGAAAAAATGCACGAAAACAAAACTGTTCAAAGGCACTCAAGACTTGGATTGCTTGAAGAATCTTGCAGACAAGATTTGGTATTCTGGATGTCGCAGCGTTTGCTTTCACCTCGCTGCCAGGTTATGCCGACGAACGCAAGGGCCCAAAGAATGCGCTGTGGGCGTGAGAAAAAGCAGTGTCACTTGCCATGCGGTGTTGAGATGCACATGGATTTCTCTGCACAACTGCTCCAATCAGCCAGAATCCAGGACCACATGTTTGATCATAAGTGTGTTGACAACCGATGACAATAACTTATTGGTTATTAGTCAATGATGATGACAAAGGGCAAGGAACAGGATGACCATGACACAGCGCCTTGGCACAGGGTGGTGGCCAAAAAAACTTCAACATGCCCGAGCAGGACTTGGGCAGCGAGAATAGATCAGCACTGCTGAGTTGCTACCCAGAAAGTTGACTCAAGACTTGACCAGGAGATCTACACACATTGCTGGTAGCAGAGCCTTGAAAGATACACACCTCCTTGGACCTGATGTTATGCAAACACCCAACTGATCTCTGGAGCTATTCTACGCATTGGGAGAAACCGCGAGATATCAGCGGAACCACGCATTTTTTTTTGCTTTCCGTCGGTTGCTTGCCAGCCTTGTGCTGCTTCTTCAATCCAGAAAAGTTTTTTTAACCGTTTTTTTCCTTTGTTTTGGTTCCTGTGGATCGGGTTGATGTCTTCGTGCCAATCTAGGCAATCTAGGGCAGTTTTCGTGCAGGACAACAGTCACTTGCGCCGTGTCAAGAACTGGACAGCGCAACCACAGTGGCGACAGAGCCCTGCTTTTGATATCCCAGCCGCTGAGCTGCAAAGAGGATTTAGTATACAATTACATATTAATTATACATTACACATTATATACATTACATATTACAATCTTTTGCAATCTATTACAATCTATTGCACTAGAGAACGATATATGGCACTATGACACTATATTATGACATATTATGACATGGTTACCATAACATACAATAACTCTTTAGCTTCATGCCACGTGATGACCCCTTCCAACTCTTTGGAACAACCATGGCTCTAACTTCGGTGGATTTCTGCATGCCAAGGTCAGTGATCAGTTTCCAGACAATCAGTTCCCGCTTGGGGAATGCGTTGAGCTTTGGGCCTAGTTTCAGAAATTCTGTGCGGAGAGACCGGAGGTTCATAACGGTGTTGAGACATACTTTGGATGGGACATTTGGTCAGATGCGACCTTCGAGAACTTGTTGTCTGGGCAAAGGTATGTCGGAAAGAATGCCTTCCGCACAACTTCTGCTGAGAAGCGTGAGGTGCGTTTTTAATGTGTATGTGAACTGCAGTAACGTGCAGCTACCTACAGTAGTCCTTTCTATGATTGATTCTGATTTTTCTCAAGCACTCCATAGCAGAGCAATGCTAGGCATGCATGTAATTTGCTGTATGATTATACAGTACACATTTCTCTACATATCTACTTATCTTCCTTGGACCTCTCAACTGAGTGTCTGTGCCTCAGTTGGAGCGGCTGCAATCCTATGACTGCGAGAAGATCCGCAAGGCACCATGCTGTGTGATTCCAAAATGAACAGTGCCATCAATGGAGGATTTGAACATCAGGATGGAACCATGCTATGCCATACTACGCCAGTTACGCACTGTATGAATCACAAGGGCCAAGGCGTCCAAGGGATCGACATCTCACACGGTGCGCATACCACGGCTGAAAAGGCGGGTGAAGTGCATCGTCAGGTGAGGAGGCAGGACGGATCTGGGTGTTTTGGTTCCAGATTTAGAGTGCTGTTTACACTGTTTACTATTGTTTACTGCTAAAGTTGCTGCCAAAGCACCAATTTCGCCCTTTGTGCTGAATTTTCATGTTGTGTCGAGGTACGTCCAGTCCTACGTCAAGCCTGGCATGAAAATGACCGAGATTTGTCAAAGACTCGAGCGAAAAACGCACGAGCTGGTCGTGGCCTGCCTGGCTGCATTAGATTCCACATCCATACCCAATCAAATCTACAGAAGTTTCAGCAGGAAAGACTTCAGCAACTTTTAGAGTCCCCAACCCACAGACCATTTCGCAGTTGGCCAGGCGAACGGCCTGGAAGCTGGTTGGGGCTTCCCCACTGGTCGTGGTGCTTAGCACTGCCAGGAAAACCTCGGACCTTGGACGCCTTGGACGTCGATGGGAATGATATGGAATGATGCTATCTATGCTATCTGTTTTGCATTTTGCCAAGGCTGCTCACTGAATTGGGCCGGGTGCCTTAAATTCCTTACGCCTTACGCTGTACTGTGCAGTGGTCCCGTGGTCCCTTGGTCCCTGATTTGCGCTAAGGTGGCAGCCCACTACACACCCAACTACGGGGACGAAACTGTGACTGGCCTCGGTGTGTGGAGCTGTCCTTTTGGGTTGTCTCATGGCGATATTGATTGAATCCACACTGTCCACACTCTTTAATTTTTGATCTTTGATAATCTTTGATTCAAAGCTGGACTCACTCGTCGTTTTGTGATTTCTCTGAATTGATACGAGGGAAGCAATCGTTCGAGACTTCAATTCGGGATTTCAGCTAATTCATGATGCTGAGGTCCTTCAGTTCGACGATGTTTGCAAGCTGGACTTTGGTGTCCAAGTAGGCGCATCCATTGACGTGCAGAGCTTGCATCATAAATCCGTGACTTGTGCCACAGGTGGACGCATTGTCGATTGCGCCTTCACCATAGCATTCAATGAAAGGCCGGAAATCATGGGTAGTTTGCAATAAGTTAGAGTTTGGACCAGTCGGAACCTTTCTTAGGCTTTGACAAGCTTGCGGCACGATGACAAGCTTCAACCTGTGTTCTCTCTGCTAGCTCTGAGAAAACTTGAGCGACAACTAGCATTGCATATATAGTCGCCATGTGTGCCGCGTAGAGGTATGATCCGATCATTGAAGCCACGCAAGCGGGCACCAACACTGGTGTCAAGGCGTTAGGGAAGTTTTCTTTGTGGTTATTTTGCCTACCTGAAATTGGATGTGGAAGTGGCTTTCACCCAGCTTTGGCTACGTTTGCTTGCTTGAGATGGTTGATTTGATTTTGATGACTAGCATGACTTGGCCAAAGCAGTGGCTATTATCAATAGACACTCGGATAGACAACTGTGCAAAATGTTTCGCCTTTGACATGATGTCATCTTATGCGTATATGCATATTATAAATATATACATACATATACTACAGAAGAAGACAGAGAGAGAAAGAGAGAGAAAGAGAGAGAGAGAGGGATACATTCCAGATCATTCCGACAACCAACAAGTTGCGTTTCAGTGAGCCGGACTACCTTGGTGTGACATAAACTGACCTCACACGTAACGGTAGCGACAATCTAGCAGCAAAATCGTGCATGTTCCTCCATTTTGCTGCATTGAGCAGCTTTGTGTCAAGTTTACTGGAACGTAACTTGATCATGCGCCAACTATTGGCCAGAACAAGATAGTTTCCACATGTTGACCTGATTACAATCAGTTAGAACTACTTTCTCACTTGGTGTTTCGTCATTTTGTCCTTGCCAGGAAGCTGGCATTGATGCTCGCTTTTCTGATATTGGGGCAGCAATACAAGAAACCATTGAGCCGATGTCCAAGTGCAGTATCAGCAGTGAACCAGGTCCTGAATATTTTGTGAAAGTGCTAGGCTTTGAGTGGGCATCCCAATGTTCATATAATTAGTCATGATTCATGATGGCTTTCAAATATACGGTGCTGGGCGCAAGCAAATTGGTGGGTGGTGCCTCGTCAGTTCCTGAAGATGCTTTGGGACCGCTGAGGTCTTACGAAATCGAGCTCAATGGCAAGGCCGGAGGTGTTGAGACCGAGGAAAACCTGGAGACCGAAACACGCCCCGCCAGTAGTAGAGCCAAAGTCATGCTCATCATTGCTTAGCGACCAATCTATACTCTATATAGACATCTATAGACAGAGGGACACAGCCCGCAGGCTGAGCTATTGTAGGAAAGCTGGAGAAGTTGTAAACTTTGTAAGAACGGAAAGTCTCAAAGGAAACCAAATCTTCGGAACCCCTGTCTTCGTCGTGGATTTGACGAGTTCCCGTGCCTGAGACGTTCCCCATCAAGCCGGTGCGAAACCTCAACGGCCATTCCATTGGGCCCTACCTTATCCACGGTGGCAAATCGGTGCCATGTCAGCATTGGTGTGGTGCAGCTAGGGATGGTTCAGGGAAAGGGGTGTAAGTTGTCCACCATGGGCCGTTGGTAATCTGTGAGCCATTTGTTGTCAACCCCCTTCATGAAGGTCCGAGTCCTGCTCAGCTGATACAACCCAAGAGGATCCAAGAGGTCCCTAGAGTTATTTTCTGCGATGGAGATTTCTGGACACTTCAGGAAGAAATACAGGAAATGTGTCTAACCGTCTAACCACTTCATGGACAGACCAGTGACGAGCTCTTGTCAAGGCACCTATACTGGACTGTATTTTTGAACATGCAGAACATCTGCGGAAATAAGGTTTTGCGATCGAAAGTGGGTCTCCTGAATTTGATTTCTTCAGATGGATCCATATTTATGCAGATTGTTTGGCAGGGAACCATTGTATTTGTTCTCTAAGTCTCTAAGCTTCATTTTTCTTCACTAAGTTACAAATAAGTTGTTTTTTTGGATCTAATTCCAGGACCAAGGGAATCAGAAACATATATTTGATAGCATCGCTAGGCTCATCTTATTGCATACAACTACACGGTTCCCGACCCATAGACGGCCGTATGGTTTTAGGAGTTTTTCAGCAACAAAAATGTCGTTTTCGCTACAGCGAAACGTCATTTTTTCTCATGTTGACGTGAAAAATATGGTTTTGAAAATCTCCAAAACTACTTCGTTTTTTGACATAAGTTCGTGTTTTTTTGGGATGCAGCACTTTTTTTCCTTCTTCTCAGAAGCGCTTCATTGCTTTGACGGCCTTGCAAAGTTCTTCGAGAAACCGGTGAGGTGTCAATGGTCCCAAAGATTTTCGCCAACAGAAACTTTTCCAATTCAGGGTGTTCTTTTGTGTTGACTCCATCATACAACCGTCTTGGAAAGGCCTTTCCACCATCTGTCAGCGATTTGCGTCCCTGCCACAGTGGACAGGAAAAAAAGGACGTGTGTGTGCAAGTGCAAGAGAACATAACAATAACGTAGCATGACGTGTGTTTGTGCAAGTTGACATGAACGTCATTGCCCCACCCCACCCTACCCAACCCCACCCCAAGACAACCATAACGTGGCATGACGTGTGTGTGCAAGTGCAAGAGAAGACACACCATTGTAACGTAGCATGACGTGTGTGTGCAAGTGCAAGAGAACATAACAATAACGTAGCATGACGTGTGTGTTGACATGTCATTGCCCCAACCCCACCCAACCCCACCCCAAGATCACCATAACGTAGCATGACGTGTGTGTGTGCAAGTGCAAGAGAACATAACAATAATGTAGCATGACGTGTGTGGGCAAGTTGACATGAACGTCATTGCCCCACCCCACCCCACCCAACCCCACCCCAAGATAACCATAACGTAGCATGACGTCTGTGTGCTAGTTGACATGAAAGACCATCAAAAAACGAAAAAATGCCAAAAAATGCTTAAAACACCACGGCCGTCTATGGGTCGGGCTCCAACTACACATATGCGAATGCGTAAGTATACCCAAGGTCTTGCTTCATTTGATATTCATTGGTTTTGGATGCACATTGAAATTGATATAGGCATTAATACAAATTACAATTCATTGTGAAAAATGATTCTTTCCAACACCAAGTCCTTCACCAAATCAAAGGAATTGGAAGGAATCATGGAACCCAGTGCCAAATCCAACAGCTTCAGAGGCGCTGGTGACAATGACTAACAAAATCTCAATTGTTGATCTATTTGGATCCAACATGATCCAACCAACAACCCAATGGCAACCGTCATGATCCATTCATCATAAATCTGAAGGATTGATTGGTGGCGTTCAAATCTGACGATTTTGAGGATCTGCCACGAGTTGAACCCCCTAAGATAGGCTGAAACCTATCTTAACCCCAGGATTTAGGCTGATTTTTTTTGTCCTAAATCGATGGGCGCGTTTTGTGCACTGGACTTCGAAATCAATTTAGTCTCCAACATTGAACAGTCATCAATATTGGATGTTTCTTGCAACACTGTTAAGTCAAAATTTTACCACACATAGATAGGATTTCAAATGATGATCATTCATGGGTGTACTTCGCCCAGATAAGCATGTGGTATTCAAATTGAATGCTCATACAATTTGGTTCATTAATATTTGGCGGCGGCCAAAAAATGTTCAAACTATGGCAGTAGATGGTATTAGTTATTAGTGTAAAATATGTACATCTACGGTGGATCTATACATCAATCGCCTGAATGACGGACACTGGAATTCTTAAACATCAAAAAATGTGAGGAGATCATTTCAATCTTGGCATTTAGACACTTCAATGCCATGTGTTCATTATTCTTGGGGGCTTAAAACGTGAGGGAAAGACTTCCAAGACGGGGGGTCCTGAATGGAGAATCTGCACAGATACTGTATATGACTAGACCATAATAAGAAATATGCAACGATATCTTTGAAAACAAAGAAGATTCCAGAAATCTTACTGAAGAAAACCAGACCGGATTGGGATAGAAACATATCTCGCTAGCATTAGTACAACGGAAAACAAGTAACATAAAGAACATAAGTTCTATATTGAAAAAAACACAAATTAAAACAAAACCCCCGAATCAAATTCAAACAACCCTCAATTGAAATAAATGCTATTCCTTACTGTGAACGCGTGACATATTTTATTTTTAGGTTCACTTGGAAGCGAGATCGGAGGTGGCAAACCACTGTGATGTTCCTGGTGTTGCCAAGGTTCCCATTACCAAGAACCAGGAAGCCACCATCATGGAAGAGGGCGAATTCTATGCCATTGTGACTTGTCAATGATAAGAGGCCAGTGTTGCAATAGAAACATTCAGTGGGAGCTACCAATTGAGTGCATGCTTCGTATGAGGATCAGTAAAAACAACGCCTCTGGGATCACTTAGTTTTGGATGAACATGCATGAACTGTATCAACTATTTTGGTTTTCTCCAAAAAGGGCAACATCAATTCTCCGCCATTTTTTTTTGTTTTGCACGGCCAATCATGGGCATCCGCTGTTGTCAGATCCATTCTAGGTGTTCCATGTGTTCACCAGGGTAGGCGGTTCGAACTGAGGAGACCTTCGCATCAAACGGCCTGGATCTAAGCAATGCTGGAGATTGGTGGACTTGGGATTGGACTATGGACCAACAGGTTCACCACCTATAGTGGTTGCATAGCATAGTACGGTTAAACTCCGTTAAATCGTTAAACCAGTCTGGCAAGGTTGGCCTCGTTTGCAGGTAACATCACTTTGTTGAAGCGGAAGCTGTTGCATTTGAGGCAAAGCGTACGTGGTGGAGGACTTGGAGTGCTCCCACTACATGAAGCATCCCGGCTGCCGTTTGCCCTTGATATCCCTTAATGATGCCCAAGAGTTGGATCAAAAATCACCACCTTGGGGGCATAAAAAAAAAGCTGTTGTTTTTCCATAGCCACGTGTTGATGACCTGCAGGGAACATGGACTGCCCTTTCCTCTTATCCGATCTATTCCGATCTTATGCGCTTCCCTTTCCTTGTCCTTTTTCCAGAAAAACAGTGAGATCAATAATTGATCAAAATCATAGTTTGTAGGCATTGTAAGTAAGGGATTTGTGCAAAGGGTTCTCCGAAAACAAAAAAATAAAAAGCGGGTGGTGAGGCATTCTAACTGAATGGATTTTTGCCGTGCGCGTGCCGCGAGAAATATTTGGAATTTGCGGCGGCATTCTAACTTTCACTTTAAGGCTATAGACATACTCATTATATACCCATTATATACATACCACATTCTTTTATATTCTTTTGCCTATTGGCGCCGCAATATCTGGATTGATCTCAGGATCTACGATGCGCCGCATGTTCCTTTGCGAGTAAAGAGTTCAAAGGCACGAAACGTCGCTTGCCGTAGACGGAATGCGAGCACAAGGTGAGACGGAACACTGAAATAAGGAAGGCTTTCTAAAATCACAAATAAACCACATAGAACCAAAACTAGCAGACGTGGTTTCTTTGACGGTTTGTTTTTCACCCTCTGATATCCGTTGATTTCCAGTGAAGGCCCTGCTCCATGCCATCGAGCAGAACTTTGGAACGCTGGCGTGGGAGCTCCTGGGGATCATCGTTTGATGTATTGAATATGGAAGACATGTCGAGTAGGGCTATTTCTTGGGATGACTTTTATATTTTTTGACCCCGGACCAATGGTGCTTCTTACTTGAACTTTGAGCTTCCGTTTCTATGTAACTTCCCTGCTTTGCCAAGTCTGCTTTTGGAGTCATTTGTACAGCGTGTTTCCAGGAAGTTGAAGCAGTTTTTTGGTAACGGCGTTCAACGGGATGACAGACATTGCTTTTCCCCAGGTTTTGTCGGCGGTGGCTGGACGATCTCGGCCAGACTCGTCATTTGATGGTCAGAATCTCGGCGGTTCAACCGGGTGTCGAGGCAGACAAGGTGCTCTGATCTGATGTCCCTATTTCATCCTATTTCATCCTATTTCATCCTATTTCATCCTATTTCTGCTTTGCTTTGAGGCTCTGAAAAATCTGGTTGACAATGACATCGTGCAACCATATCCACCTCTTTGCGATGCAAAGGGCTCGTGCCCTTCCACGGAGTTCAGGTCTTGAGTCTTGAACTTTCAGAGTTTGATGGAAAATTGTTGTCTTGAAGGTTGAGATGAGATCTAACAGCTACAGTACTCTTGCCGCTGGAGAATCATGGAGAATCAACCGCACCCGTGAAGGTACGTCACGCAGATGGAACACACCATTCTTCTTCGGCCAACATGCAAGGAGGTACCAAGGGGCACAAAACCGCTTGATCATCGGAGCAGGAACATGTCAACGACATGTCAACAAGACATCACGTCATGGCATGCACTTGGTTTGCCTTCGCGTTGCACCCTTTCTGGACTGCACATACATATCATACATTTAGCCTCATGAAGCCATAATTTCGGTGAAATCACATCAAACAAATGTTCACACAAGCTGTGTGTGATCATTTGATGATATGAATAGATGAAAAAAGGAGGACAGCATGACCGGAGACAGATTGTAGATGCAATGAAATTGCACACGAAGAGCAAGATGTTCTGCTTTGGGCCAGTCCCAGATAGATTTAGTGAGCCATACTGCAAGGACTTTGATCTCACATGTTCTGATGTAAAACGAGTTTTCCAACACGGCCCAAGAATTGGCTATGGATTCCTTTACAACAAGCCATCACCTCGACCTTTTTTCGGAAGGAAGTACTGTATCTGGCACATTCACTGGTGGCAGCCGGGGTGGGGCTAAGGGACAAGCACAGATCCGGTCGTGATTGAATATGTTTGGAAACGCACCGAATTCAACGGATTTGAAGCGAGTGGATGGAATATGATGAACATGTTGGAAATGATTTGAAGCAGAGAATTGAAGCAGATTTTAGTAGTTCGGAACCCTCCGTTGCTGCAGATCGTCTCTCGCGGCGATGACTTTTGAGCGGCCCAGCCACGAACATGCACAATAGACAGAACAGCTTCAAACACCTCCATTGACCTTTACCAGCTTTGTACATCTTTGTACAGGTTCACGCAATCTTGCTGACTGCATCAAACTTGAAATCGAACATGTTTAAGACACATGAGGAGCTCAGATATTTTCGCATTTTTTTCCCACTCCAAGCGACCGGAGTTACGATTTAGACCGTAGCCCAGTTGGTCTGGCGCGCTTCATAAGCCGCTTTTCTTGGCCAGAGACTTGTTGACGACTGTAGGACTCGGCTTCTGAACTCCCGCAGCAGCTCCAACGCCTCGTGCTGGAGCAATTTAAAGCGCGAAATGATGGGAGTCCTGAAGGACCGCGGAGAGTGCTTTGAGCAAGGCCAATGCTGTGAAAGCTCTCCAAACAGCTCCAGTACAGACTTGACTTTCTACAAACTCCACAAGTTTTAACTAACTCGATTCTAAATCACTCTTTTATTACTCTTTTAGCTTCCTTTTTGAACAGGATTGCAACACCTCAAGCATTAGCACTTCTTTGGATGACTGCGTGAATACAAGAGCACTGTGGAGAATTCCATTGAAGAGCCGACACTGCTCATATCTCCACACTCTCTTTCTCTCTCTCACTCTACTTGGAGTGCGAGGCAGGAAAAGAACCGAAAGAACCCTGAGTTTTGTGCTGGGGATGGGTCAATATGGATACAGTGGGATGAACATCCATCAATCCCAGCTATGACTTGGGGTGAACAAAAGGTACCAGGGTTTTGACCCATCCCCACATTGCAACAATCACAGCAAGGTGTTCATTCGAAGCAGAGCCAAGTCCTGTCAGCACAGTGGGCTTCTATTGTGTGTGCGCGTGATTTCTTTTTTGATTTGTGACTCATCCGCAGTTTGGAGCTCTACAGCTTTGCAACAAACGCATCAACAATCCGTATAATACGTTCAAAAACAGAGATTCCTGACAGTTTCATTGGTTACTGATGGTTACTGTAGCAACTTGCCCAGTATCTCAAGACCTGAAGCACCTTTTTCCAGCGGCCCGATGAGCAAATCCAGATCAGCGAGGTCAGATGCCAGAAAAGTGTTGTCAGGCTATATAAGTATACGTATGTATCCATAATATAAGAAGTATATATATATATATACTTATACAATATGTAAACATGTACATATATATATATTTATATGATTATATATGCACATTAATACACAATATATATATATATGTATATGTATATGTATATGTATATGCATATGTATATGTATATGTATATGTATATTATGTATATGTATACATAAGACTCTTCGGCCTCCTTCAGACTCTTGAAGAAGTTATATTATAATATAGTGTCTCGCAGGTCGCACGCCAGCCGCCCTTTGGCCGCTGTGCTGGTTTGAATGCCCAGCTGAAGGAATCAGAGCATAGCAGGGTTGCTCCAACCCACTCTGGGTGAATGGGTTATTTTAGGTTTTTGCCTACTCGTTTGCATCCCATGTATCTGGGGATGGAAGCAACCTGGCTGAAAGTTACCTTGTCTCTCTCGTTTCAGCGTCTGATACTTAGATAACTTAGATAACTTAGATTTGTTTTTTGGAAATTTAGACTTTTTCAGACTTTTTCAGACTTTCATGCTGATTCTCTTTGAACACATTTGAAAACACAAAGGCGGCGGGCGGAGCTTTGGGATGTGCGCCTGCACCATGGCTGCAAGAGGTGAAGATGGATTCAAGATGCTTGACCAATGACATCCAATATCATCCAATGACCAAGAATTAAAGATAATGATTCAATAATGATTGATATGATTGGCAGACCTTAGAGAATCTTTTATTTGTATCAAAGAGTCAGGTGCTTCCGGGCCACGTCCCAGATCTGATGGCCTCCAGAAGATTTCCCAATCTTACCTGACTTGGGCTGCGTTGCATCTGACATTGCCTGTTCCACAAAGGTGACCGGCTCCAAGTCAGAATCAAACATGGCATACTGCAATCCTCAATGCTTCAGTATCTGGGTATGAAAATTGGGAACCCCCTACACTGGAAATAGCATTTTTGCCACTAGGAAAACTATTTCGGGGTAGCCTCCATTCTAAGCTTGCCAGCGCAGCTGAAGGTTTGGTTGGCTTCGCGTGGCCCTTCTCAATTGGCACCACGCAGCACCTTGACTGTCAGGGATGATCCAAATGGAACCGGCTACGGCGGCTACGGCTCAGATCAGTGTGGTGGGTGTGGCATGGTGTGGCAGTACGCCAACATACCTCGCGTCCCATGTAGCCTTGCAAATGCCTTCCTTGACGGCAAGCGTTGCTTCTTTCTTTGGGACTTTGGGCTTCAAAATACCATGGTTTGTCATCATTTCCCCATTGAACACACATGTTGACTGCCCTTGCTGCCACTGCATTGTGAACGGGCATGAACTGATGCTCCCAAGGCGCACCATCAGCCGAGACGAGGCATTCCACCAGATTTCTTTCTGGCATAGAGAGAGAGAGAGACCCACGTACGGAAACAAAGAATAACAAAGACTACTAGGGCCTTTACCACAGGGAATCAGCAACTCGAAAAGTCGGTGGCGAATCCCTCTTGCTTCCTACACCCAGTCTGACTGAATTCAACAGGTCGATCTAGTATAGGGTTAATATCTTCGGACTCAATCTGCTTGATAGCACAGCAACAGCTAGCATACATGCCACATTTATAGACCCCTTCACTACTTGTAGATGCCATGACGGCGTACGACTGCTATGAATGGAAGGTGGAGGCTGTTCTACCTTGAGCATTGAATTGAGAGTCCCAAGTTGCACTGACCCCATACTACTGTGATGAAGAAATACAATTTTCTTTTCTCAAGGCAGCCATGAGTCCTTGGAGTCCTCTTCCTATTCGTCCACTATTCGTCCAAGTCAGTTTCGCGGATAAAAAAGCGACGCCTTGTGATGGCCAGGCCATTACAGGCTGAAGTTTCAAGTCGCGGCGCGGTGACACTTCCAGGAGGCCACAAGCGAATCTGGAATAGAAATGAATAGAAGATGCCTAGCTGATCCTAGCTGTAGATTGAATGGGCTGTGTTGAGAATGTTGAGATGTGCGTGACGCAAATGCATGCAAATGCTCGCTTGTCATCCTTGTCCAGCGACACGTTCTTAGCCTTTTCACATCTTTTCATGCAGTCAGGAATTATTGGTTGTAACCCGCCAGGCGCATTGCTCATTGGAGGTTCCGTACTGATGGCCTCTTCAAGGCCATTGCAGTTGGAGAGGGCAGACTAGGGAGACTTGATAAGATAAAACAAAGTTGCGCTTCATATATTTCATATGCGTGAACTACAACCAGAAGGTCAAAGTCAGTGAGTCTTTAGTATGTATCAGTATTCATCAGATTTTATCAGTATTTATATATATAATATATATTTATATATCAGTTTATATGTATTTATATATCAGTCAGTAATTTGTAAGATATTCTAAGAACCTACTGGAAAATTTGGCTTGGGATTCCAGAAGCTTTTTAAGGGCTCAAGCGAGCTACAGCATTCAACAGCCAGTGTTTTGGTATGTTTTGGTATGTTTTGGTTCTGGATCTTGAGGCCCTTTCCATTCGGATCCATTGGTTCATTGGAAATTGGAGCAGGCATGGCTTGAAGCGCCTGAGACGAAATGCAGAGGGTGAGAGCACGGGAACCAAAACGTGGGTTGAAGTTTGCTGCGATATCAAAATAAAAATAAAAAATCATCAAATGAAAGGACCCTAAAGAGTGACCACTTCTTAAGGCGGCCATTTCTAACGAATGTCAGTACAAGGTCAGAATGTGTTGATGCGTGTTATTTCTTCAATATGTATCAGAATAGCCTTGCTCTAAGAAGATTTGCTACAAAGTAGCGTAAATAGCGCTGTGCGAGTCGCATGGCAGCGCAAACGAGTTGTACCAAGACCACCTTGAGTATCCTGCAAAACCGTTCAGCGGTACACGATCATTTTCTAAATCCATTTGACTTCGCAGACAAATTTATTCATCATCCCTTCTTCGAAATAGTCCACAAGTTGCACGGTATACCCCAGAATGGCAATTTTGAAGGGATAATCATGATAAACATTGATAAGCCATATTGGATTTTTTGGTAGCATACTTTCCAGACAAACCCAAATGTTCTTGTCTCATTTATTATGGGCGTGTATGAGTGCCTAGAGGGCCTAGAGCCTGCGCAAGTCTGGTTTGGGTCTCCTGCACATTTCCAATCTCCGGGTGCTCCCTGGGAATCGATTTTGATAGGGGCAATTCTCGTGTTGCTGGAGAAAAACATCCAAACCTGTCGAGCATCAACCGTGTGTCGGGGGCAAAGAAGTCAGTCCGGATATGTTCAAAGTAAAAAAATGTAAAAAACAAGTGTAACTACTTTCGAATGCTGATTGATACCTGTATTTAGAATGAAAATGCGTGGTTTGCAGCCCTGTGCACAGTCCGTTTGCAAACATGCAGTTTCTGGACCCACAAATAGTCCCAGCTGCTAGCCTTCTTCTTAACAAGGCCCCTGCCTGTCGCAGTGGCTTTGCTTGGGGCAGTTTCAGTCATTCTGCAAAGGCAACGCGTTGCCCGACCTTGGCCCACTCCTTGCCTCATCTTAATGAATGATATTGAATGATAGTGGTTGCACACACACATACATATTTATATATGATTATTTATGGATGTATATACACTCACATGTACATATATATATATATATACATACGTATATATATATATACATATACGTATATATATATATATAGATAGCCACTTTGCCATGAACGAGTGACTCACAAGCTCCAAGAGAGCATACATCAAGCGGATGCATTGAGGACCATCAAATTAGGGACCGAATAGGGGACCTTCCAACATCAAGGTCCCGTGGACGTGGCAAGACGCCTGGGCAAGCAAGCACGAGAAACTGTTGAGCGAACGTCGGGACCCTGGTTTGTAAAACGATGGCTGGTTGTTGGGTTACCTGACTTCTTCATAATCCTTCCAAGTGTTTCAGCGGGGATGGTAACATGATACACCCTGATGATGTATAAACATGTATAAACTGTATATAAAGCATTATAAAATCTTATAAAACAACTAATCCAACATGATCAACATGGGATTTTGATGCGCCACTTTGCTCTTGGCTGCTCTGGTCCGATCCATTGCCTTGGAAGGACTCCCGCTTTAAGGACTCAGCTGGCACAGGAAGTGGTGGAGGCCGGAACCACAGTTGGCTCACTCTCCCCGTTGAATGAACACGCATGTGGTAGGATGTGGCAGGCAGCCAAGATGATTTGAAGACATTTTTGATATTTTGATTATTTTTGATTCGATATTTCATTTTCTATATGAGTTCCACCATCCAGAATACAGTATTCGTGTCAGGCTCTTATGGTCCCTGAGTTAAGTCCTTGTATTTGTGAGTCCGCTACAGTAGCCGCTAGAGTCTGCTAGAGCATTCTGCGCAAGCTGCAACCTCAGACCCTGTCACTCTCTGCGTGCAAACTATTCTGGCACCCTCTATGGCTTGCGAACCGCTTGAGTATTACGTTACGGAGAAAAACACATTCCTCGAAGTTTGTCTTCCGGAGGCTAATTTGGGAAACAAAGGAGTAGAATGACAGACCATGACAACGTTTTGCCACTTGTGATCCTCTTTTTGATGTCACATCTTGCTCTTTGCTTTCGGCTCTTCGAATTTACCAGTCTGGTCTGGATTTCCGATAGCTTGAGCAGGGGGGCTTGTGGACGTGTCCTAGGTCCTAGGTTTACCATGTGCAAGTTTCCTAGTCCTCATTCTTAAAAGCTAGTTGAATGGATCCAGCTATGCCATGAATACTGCATCGGTGACTGACCACTGGCAAAAATGCCAAACATTAATTACTTCTCGCTTCGCTTCTTCAAAAGAAGATGCACTTGACTTCGTGAAGACGTATGAGTCTTGGCACAAGCCACCCATTTTCATAATATTCTCCTTTCTCCGTTCCATACGTCTGAATCATTCTTCACCAACACCAGAAACTTACAGAAACTTCCCGATTTTACGATATTTTACTCGGGCAAAAAAGGGGCTTCACGGCTTGGCAGCTTGGTGATTTGGTGTGCTCCCAAGTATCACAAGGGTTTGGAGGATGCCAGCCTCTCTCCAGGCGCCAGGGAAAGCTGCCCAAGCTGCCAGCAAAACTGCCAAATGCTTAGGAATGACCACTCTCAAGGACATGCTGATCTGGTTGGAAGGACTTGACACGACTTTGCAGCCTGTCAGTTTTTCCATGGTTTTTTCGGTTCCAAGATCTTCCAAATTCTTCCAAGGCACAAAGCATTGGTGCCCAAGCACAGAACATTAGCACGCAAGCTTCATTGTTGAAAGACAACCTGGGCAACCTGAAGGCGCTGACATCTGGACATATCTGGACCTGGGAGAGACGCAGAAAAATGATGAAATCGACATTGTTCGACATGACAGGCTGTGCCTTCCGAGCTGGGAGAGAAGTTCCAGCGGCCTTTCAAGGAGGTCGTTGAATGTTGCTGATGTTGCTGGCACAGGATGTTCGATGTTCTTGGAGTGTCTTGAGAAACATTGGCACCTATCTTTCAAACAAATCTTCATGTAGCGGACGGACTTCATGACACAGCCTCCGATTGGTTCAATGTGAGATTGTTTTGACAAAGAAGGGAACAGTGTGATGAAAACAATGTGGACCTTCGGCAGCTCCGTTGATGGATGATAGGTATCCTCGGCAGCCAAAGGAGCAGCTCTTGGCTCAGATCTTGACAGTCTCGCACTTCATGACCCATTCATAGGCGGAATATGGAGGAACATTTCATGATGGAATTCTCACCGAGGGAGACAAGTTGGCGAATTTGAAGGCAATTTGGGGGGCATTGGGAGGGCAAATCGGCAGATTTTGATCGCTGAATCATGTCGTGAATTTAGTTCAAAGAGGAACTTCGCGATACAGATCATTGTGCGCGAAAGGAAGGAACCTGACTGTCCAGTGGGGCTGTCAATACTATGGAATAACCAGCTGGGTATGGGTCAAAAGTCAAAAGCATTAACTCCCAAAATGGATGGTTTAATACGCAAAATATCCATTTGTGGGTTCATTAGTCCATATTAGTCCCAAGATCAAGAATTTGATACCACCAAATACCATCAAATACCCATTTCATCCAGGTTTCCATTTCATTTAGGTCTAATACATGTGGATACTGGACAAATTCACTGGTTCCGTTCGTATCCCACCTTTGTCCCATCTCCAAAAACATAGCGACATAGCGACATCAGCTCTGTTACCACACAGCTCAGCCACGCTTGCTAGGCACCAAAGCCAAAGAAAGTTGATGGCCCCAACGTCATTGAAAAGGTGCGAAGCGGCATTTAGAAAACATTGAGTTGAAACAACTTATATATATATACAGCATCATACCGTATCGCTGTTTTAGAAGATGTGCAGCGGTTGATTTGGGCCACAGCTTCGAAACGAAGGGTGATGAATGATGAAGTCACGAGATGGTGATGGTCTATGATGGTCGAATAAGTCTAATATCTTCATAGTTCTGCTTGATATCCTCAGAACATCTTGGAACTCAATGCAATTCTTGGAAATCAAAGGCTCAAATGGTGGCGAGGTGAGACTGATTGATCTTTGATGCTGCTGAGGTTTCAAAAATCCCTGGGAACATTTCAAAGATCCCTGGGGACATCAGCAAGCGCTTCCAAGAGACCGCTGAAGGCCAACCCCACAAAGCGTGACAAATCAGGTCCCAGAAAGTGGGAGGACTGTAGCATACTTTAGCACCATTTAACACCAATTTTCTTGAAGTATCTTGAAGTACTTATTGGATCTTCTTGGATCTTATTGGATCTTATTGGCCATATTTGGCCAAATGTTTGATACATTCTGAATCATTCAAAATGGTGTCCAACATTCGACGGGAAATGGGAGGTGTGGAGAAGACCGTGACTGGGATCATTGAGCTCCCAGACCGCTTGAGCAAAGGTGGGAGATATAGATAACATAAAAATACAATACGTTTAACGGTTTATCTCAATCTTTATGAATTCTTTATGATACAATATGGAGTTCAGAGCCAACAGAGGGAGAGTGTTTCTTTCAAGCAACTCTAATTTAGGATTGTGCAAAGTCAGCGCACATGTGATTCGGCTTTTCATGCTTTTCTCGTTGCCACTGTGTGATTTGGCCTGATATTTCCGCGAAGTGTTAAAAACCGCCGTTCATTGCTGTGGATCTCTTGTTGCAAAGCTGACACCATGTGACACCTGGGGTGGGGTGAATTTTTGGAGGTGCTTCTCGCGCATCTGAAGCTGTGGTCCGGCTTTCAGCTTTTTTTCATTTTAGCTGATCAGCTGAGCGGCAAAGGTCTTTAAATGTTTTTGCCTAGTGCGCGAACATTTCCAGTCAAGCTGCGGAAGATGGCATGGACCAAAGAAGAACCAGCTGTTCGCAGTCTATCCACTTTGCTCGAAATCACTTGGTTTACTTTTCAGATCTTTTCAGTCCCATAGGATCCATGTATGCCATATATGGTAACATGGATCCCATCAATATTACCCCCTTTATGTTAGCATATATACCAGCACCATGGATCCTATGGGAGTGTGACACAGCAATTTTTTCCGTCACACTTTATACCGGCAGAGATTTCAGGTGAGCACCGGTGAAGCCCTCGCCAAGTTTCCAGGAAAGGTGCAGGTGCCATGGCAGCCATGGATCCGATCCAAGGACTTCGTCTGTTTTTATGGCTCCATAAACCACCCATATCCAGTGTTTCAAGATGTTGAACCACCTGATTTATCTGAGTTTGCGGAAGTTTCCCCATCACAAATTGCCATCATTGCGGGGTTTATAACATACAAATGCAGGTATGATGATTGATATGTGCATATATATATAATATATATGTATATAGTAATTCCAAAAAAGATAGAACCGCAAATTACCAAGGTAAACCTAATGGCAAAGCCATTTTTGTATGGCAATTTACCACTCACTTTCTACACCGTCCCAGGCCACAGCGGAGTATGTGGCCAAGCTGCCTGGGAACACGGCGAAGAAGGCGCCAACCTGGGGACGGCCACTGGGTTTTTGGGGTAGCCTCCATTGTTGGACAATGACAATTTCATCCCCTTTCCATATTTTCCATCCCCTTTCCACCGAAAACACCAATCATGCTGGATCTTCCCAGATTCCTCCCAGATCTTCCAGATGTTCCCTTGGCGTTCAGGAGGACCCACGACTTTTCATCTGTGCAGGTTGAAGACTTTGTCGATGGAGTGAACAACGTGGTAACAAACGCCGGGTTCTTTAGATCTTCACTCCAGTAACATTAGATCTTCAGGCAAATTCTGAGTGCGGAGTTGCAACTGCCATGGCTGCCACGGATTAATATGTCGTTTTTGCGCGTGCTTTGCGTGCTTTGTTGAGGTGGCAAGCCTGCCAGGGCGAACAGCCAAGTCAGTGGATGCTACCGTGACAGGCGCAGACTGGCAGAGTCGTGAAATTTGCCGTGCAGTGAACCGATCTTTCAGCGCATGTTTCGAACCAAGATGAACCAATGGCAAGATATGGCAAGATGATATATATATATATATTATACAGTATTATATAGTATTATATAGTATTATATAGTATTATATAGTATTATATAGTATTATATAGTATTATATAGTATTATATAATTCATATAACTATTTCTTCCAGAGTCTCATGGGTTTTCCAATGATTTCTTTTGGGGAATTGTGGGTGACAGGCGTTACTCGAACTGCTGAGGCAATTGCAAGCGCCTCAACACGTGGTTTCGCAAATATAAAGTCTTCATGGCGCCATCTCATCACTTTGCGACTGAGGTAAGCTTGCCAAGCCGTGTCAAGGTTTCGCACCCAGATGCCTTGCAGTGCACATCCTGTCCTGTGATGTGGAAGTGGCCTGTCACCTCAAATTCTCAGGAAACCGCGGATAACGTGGTCGGCGGCGTCACCTCAACGGTCTGGTCCCTGTGATCACAAACTGTGAGTTGGGTCTCTCTTTGGCCTTTATTAGTCTATATTAATCATTATTAAGCTATATGATCTCTCCTGAAGGTGGACACTGTGACCAGCGTCCCCAAAAAGGTCAAGGATTCTGTCAAAGCCTCAACTTCTGCAGTGAAGATAATGTCAGAGAGCATGAAGAATGCACTTTCTGAGGTCGATTCCGTGAAACAATCAGTGGCAAACTCAACTCCTCCAGCCGTTTCAAATAGAAGCAGAAAGAGATCAGCGGCACACTGAATCCATGCTGATGCTATTCGCTGTTTGCATGAAAAAGGTGGACAATGTTGCAAGCATCCCCGGAAACATCAAAAGCTCCGTTGATGGAGTGATCACGACAGGCAGGAAATGCACATGTCCCAGACTATATACAACATTTCAAAATGCTTGGCAGTTTCTCTTATCTGTTCGTGATTTTACCGCGGTTTGCTTCTTCCAGCAAGTACCTAAGAAGACACACACACACATCCAGACTTTAAAGTTGTTGAGTCAAGCAGGAAAGAATCTGGTGGGTGCTGTGGAAGGAGCGAACCTCTCAGCACGCACTGGTGACAGCCAAATTATCGTTTTTAAATGTTTTTACGACCTTAGTTTGGAGGCTGTGCCTTTGGACCCCTTGGGTTTCTCAACAGTTGGCCCTTTCAACTTTTGGAAGTTGTTACGCCGCCACCTGTCTCTATATTAGCCCGGCGCAACGCTATATTAGCGTTTGAAACATGCTCACTAAGAGCAATGGTAGGCCATGGTAGGCCTTTTTCTCCATTTTTCTTCTGTGTCTCACCAAGGTCGCGAATTTTTTCGCCGGTGGTGTGTCGGCCTTTGCCTCATTTTGCCTCAACCTTCTCCAGAATGTTCACGCACAAGCCAGTTTTCCTGATGACATGGCCCCCTAATATCCCCTAATCCCGTATTGTCACATTGCGATACCCTTCGCAAACACATCCACTCCATTGGTCTTTCCAATATGGCGATACGGCTGGGAACCTAGCTCTTCATAGAAATCTTTGGAATTCTTTGGATCTTTTGCAGACTGAATACATGGACCGAATACATGGCAGATGTGCAACAGCAACTTTTGACAAGAGCACTTCACACAATGCACAGATGAAGCATGATTCCAACTTTGATCAATAGGTGATCAATAGTGAGACAAAGCTTACTACAAGTGAGAGAAACACTGATCCCCTCAGATAATTTAGCTCTTGAAATCGCCCCTTACATCGCAAACCGGCCCATTTTTGTGCCTTTCTGAGGCCATAGCTTCTGCTGCGGGCGCTCTGACGGAACTCGCCAAGAAATCGGAACCCCCAAAGGCTCCACCGAAGCCTTCAGCTCCGGCGGCTCCCGCGGCCGTGGCTCCCGTGGCTCCCGCGGCTCCACCCGCGGCAAAGGAGGCTCAAAAATCGCCGGAAGATACTCCAAACAAGGCCGAGCCGGGGAGCTTGAGAAGTTCTGAAATATTCTGAAAGATTTCAGAATCATGAGAATGACATAGAATGACTCTATGGACGGAGTTGAAACACTTGAGTTGAAAGGCCACCAGCTTGATTTCACATGCTTACGCCATCTTACGCCTGCAAAAGTACGCAATAGTGCTGGACGTCATGGCCACAAGCATCACAAGTGTCAGCCTTTCTCACTGATCTGATGATTTTATTCCTAATTTCCAAAGCTGAGTTTTGTGCAACTATATATTGGGGCATGATATGCCATGATTCAGTTCATGGCAATGTGCCTTTTTCTCAGACATCGTGTACTGTACCTGGCTCAGCTGAACATAGGCAGCACGAGAGAAGGCCTCCAAGCAGTTCAAGGCACCTGCTAGGAAGCCCCTCCTGTAAACTGCAACATTTGTTGATTCCAGGAGGCTATTGGTATGCTTACTCAAAGAGGGGATGGCATGCTTCTCTCATGGAAAAAGTATGTTTTGAAAAAGGTGGGCACGGCATGTGACAATGTATACCAATTTTTTACCGACATTTTCACAGCACTTGGAAGTGATAGAGGAGAAATCAGCTGGAGTATATAGTGCTTTGTAGGAAAAGTATGGAAAAGGAACTGCCCATGACGCAGCAAATTTCTGAGGCCGACTTGGAGGCAGCCCAGGAGGGACAGAAATGAGGTGTGCTGCCGCTCGTACCTGGTCTGAAGAGGTGACAACAGATTTGCTGATTTCTGTGTGATCAGTGCAGCAACAATTCTGTAAAATCTGGAAATGACTTTGCCCTATCGCACGTCAAATGACACAGAAAGCTGCAAGAACACCAATGGCGTAGATCAACGGACCATACTGCTACACGACTAATTTTACAGAGTCAAAGACATTTTGGCCTAAGAATGACTAGACAGAAGCTACAAGTCAACTTCAGGACTGAGAAGCGGGAGGGGATAGTATATACTGTAGATTAAAGTACAGCAGTTCTTGACAATTCTTGGGGATTTGCACATAACCTTCAGATCCCAGCAGTCCGATGCGCAGACAATTGCACACAGCCGACCTGACTCGAATGCTTGAGGCTGAAGCTGCAGTGAATCACCACGACGGCAGAAAAGCAAACATCCAAGTTGGGCATGTCACAACTGATCACGGAGTTGAAATTGACGTTTTGTTCTTGATTGGCTTCACCTTGGAAGGGGCTCTCAACATGATAAGTTGCTTTTCTGTTTCTTTCCGCCGTCAGGCAAAATGTAGGAGTAATGCAATGGCATGTCCAATCTAGAGTCTAGATGGCTCAATGATGGCTCAACAAGTTGCAAAGTATCGTATCTTGGTTGTTCTATGCTTGGCACATGCCTTTGTGCTGGCTTCTGCCAGCTGAAGCGTGCTGATCCTTGCAACAAATTTTTGTTGGTTGCAAGAAGCAAAGACAAGTCCTGCTCCGCAAACGAGTGGCTGACTTCCTTGAAGCGCATGTCTCAAGTTTGACAAAAACTAAGTATGCGAGTATGACCATTGACTGCACGCTTGCGAACCTGCATGTCCAAACGGTTGCACATTCGTGCTCATGCTTAGTAAGTGTTCCAAAAGTTGCAGAAGCCTTGGAAGGCGTTCGCAAAACATTGCAATAAACATTGCTCCAAACCATCCAATAGCGCTATTTGCGGCAGGCATCTTTGCCCTGACTCGTTAAACGCAGATTTTCCTCGCAAAGATCAGGAAGCGAAGTAGCGGCGTTGGCTGGACCTAGTCCATTCGGGGACAGCAAATGCCATGATGCCAAAAGACACCATGTCCTGCAAGAAGGAACAGCTGACTTATTAAATTATAATAGAGGATTTCTAAGGCAAGTTTCCATAGACATTCCACATCCATGAAGAATCGATTGAACATGTCAGATATATGACTTTGCCGGCACTGATAATGCTGACAGCCGAATCAGCCGCCGCTGATCGCCTTTTCAGCTTCAAAGTGATGACAGCAGAGAGATGGAGACTCCGATCATCTCTGATCTTTGCAAGGTTCACCACAGACTTGACAGTAATGTCAGTTATGTCTTGAAAACATTACCCGATGATTTTATCAAAAAACATGGAAAGGTGGCCATTGAACTTCAGAACTTCAGCACCATCACTTCATGGTTCTTCATGGTTCTTGATGGTCCTTCATGGTGTTTGATTGGACGATGAAGCACCAGCTCACCAGGCCATGGATAGTCCACGCCCAGCAGAACAGCCCAAGAGCTCCAAAAAAGCCATGGCCTCCTCTGAGCTGGCAGGTGCTTTGAACAGGCCCTTCCCTCGGGTGATGGTCACAGCCCTGATCCTGTATAGATCGAGCACTGCTGAAGCTCCACATGGATGTTCTTCGTTGCAGGCCTTGTCATTGTCTTGTTTTTGCATGTTTTGAATGGTTTTGCCATGTTGCTGACGAATGACGAACAATATGAACACGTCTCCAGGATTCTTCAAAATTTAATGTCAAATGATTTTGGACTTCAGCCAACGGATCTCCTTCCCTCTACCTTTTGCCTGAGGCGGCGGGAACTAGCAGAGGCTGATGGTGCAGTTTTTGAGGCTCTCCACGAGGATGGTTGCATTGGACGTTCTTTAGGGCTTAGTCTGCAACTGCGTGTCAGCTCAATATATACTTACTATATCTTCCTATACTTACTTTGGTTTGTAAATGTTCAAGTCATTTTGCAAGAGTGTTGATGTCAGATTGCGCCTTACTATTTCAACATATTTCATATCTTGTCAATGTTTATATACAGTGCAGACTGTACCTTGGAAAGGGTTGCCAAAAAATGTTTGACTGCCAAGACCTTTGTTCCCGTCCTGATCCGTCCAACCAGGGCTCACCACGTGCCTCTGCGGCCGACACTGCGTGGGTTTGGCCCACAGACCGCGACTTTCCAGAGCTGGAGTGCCAACTGTATACCGTATACCGTGATCTTAAATTAAATTTAAATGATCTGAATAACTAGGTTCTTGTCTGGCTTCCTCTGAGATTGTCACAGGGTCATGGAATAACTGGAAATCATGTTTTCTAACACAGCATTTCTAAAGCACAATAACTTATAGATAGATTTTGAAGTACAGTGAAGCTACCAAATTTGAAGACTGACTCCAAGGACCAGCGCCATGAAACGCAGTTCACGCCCCGCGGGAAACATCGCAAGTGCAGTCCTCAGTGCTGTGGATCTGATGCCAACGTGTCATTGATGATCATTGATGCCTTGGAATGTGCCAATTAAGTATCAGCTTGAAAGAGGTTTCAAACACCAAACCATGCTAAAGCCCCGTTTTCCTGGGAAGTTTTGAGGGAAGCTACAAGTCTATTGGTCAATCATAAAAACACCACTCAGGCCAGATGTGGGACGCCTGCAGTTGCCGCAGGAGGCTCCAGATTTGTGTCAGAAATGGCATTGCGGTTCCCAGTTGAAGGAGCTGGATGGAACAGGCACATTGTGCTCTGAATTTTGACGAAAAAAAACTGGATCAGGATGATGAATCTACCGGTACGGTGACACCACGGGAGGAGATCCTGCCTCCTGGCAAGGCGAGGGAACTGGACGGCATTCCTTGAAGATTTGTGCTCAGCTGCTCAGACATTGTGACTAACTGTGACTATTATGACTATATCATGGAATTGAATAGATTCTGGACATATGACAGAAAGACAGAACTCTGACAGATTCTCAAATACGGACAGTTGAAATCCATGGGGTGCGAAGCAGGTAGGATGAGGACCATGGATAACCATGGTACAATTGCCGTTTCTCATGTTCTTGAGCTGTTAGTGCTCAAGGCCGTTAGGGCCGAGCCTGAGCGTGATGCCAGCAGTGCAGAGGAAAGGTGCCAAAGCTGCCAAAGACCGAAGCGACCGAGCAGAGCAACTCGACGTCGACACTGTGCTTTTGCAAAATGCAGCTCCGACAAAATGGACCGATTCCTTCATCCTTTTACGATTGTTGCAGTGGGCTATCAACTGCGCAGACAACTATTTCAGGGCACCGGACACACGCTCCGGAAAGAAGAAACAAGAGGAGCCTGAGCTGCCGTTTAAAGAGGCGGCCATGCAGTATGTCCAGGCACATAAAGTACCTTTAGGCTTGATGGCCATTTTTGTGGCTACTTGTGCCATCATCATTGCTGGTGAGAATTTGGACACACAGATAGATCGTCAGGTAGAAACAGTGGACGATTACTATGGAGTACTCGGGGTGACCCGTGATGCAGAAACGGGTGACATCAAACGTGCCTACAAGACGTTGGCAAAGAGATGGCATCCAGACAGGTGGGGACATCCGTTGTGAATTCCAGTGACATCCGGTGACTAAAGCTGTTACATATCAGTGATGAAAGTTGATGAAAGATAAGCAACACATGAAACTTATTTATTAAGGCATATTAAGATTATATTAAGAATATATTAAGAATTATTAAGTAAGATAATTCAAGATATATTAAGGCTTAGCAGGTTCTTTTCTAGGAGCCCATGCCCTCCCATGCCCCAGAATCTTCATGAATCTTCTGGGTATGCTTTGTCCAGCCGTTACCAGGACAAGTTGACGACCTTTGCCTTTCGTCCTGTTTTTTTTTGCCTTTGAGACTTTGAGATATATCACATATATTTTTATATATCATGTCATCATGTTTTGTTTATTTTGTTTTGCCAACGTCGATTGCTTTCAACATTCAATTGATCGCTTTGAGCTTGGACAGGAATCCGAACTGCAGCTCTTGCCAGGAGGCATTTTCGAAGATTGCCATCGCCTACGAGACTCTCTCAGATGAGTCTAAGCGCGGGGCATATGATGAAGCTGGTGGAGTGGCAGCATCAGAGCTAAAATCTGCCAAAAGTGTACCCTTGACGAGAGACAATTTTCATGAGCTTGTGACTTTCTCCAATGATGTTTGGATTGTGCAGGTGTTTCGGCCTGACAACCCACACTGTGCTTCGTTCCACCCCTTTTGGGAGAATCAGATTCAGAAATACGGGCACCTCGTGCGCTTTGGTCGGATAGATCTCACAGATGACCAAGCCAAGTGGCTTCCGTTGAAGGTGAGAGTACTTCCAACTGTACTGAAATTTGCAAAGCATTTGGGCAACGTGGAGATTTTCCCAATCACTCAGATGCACGAAACTCCACAGGCCTTGATGAAGTTTGTGCTCACCTCCTTTCCGAACATCGGATTGCCCTTGAATGTGGATAAAGGAGCTTTGACCTCCTGGCTCAGCAAATCGACAAGGCGTCACAAGGTGCTTTTTGCCATTCCCGGAAAAAGTGAGGAGGAGCGATACAAGTCTCACCTAATTTGCCGAAAACTGGCTGCCCGCTGGTCGGAGATTTTTGAAATGCGGTCAGCTGAAATGGCCATTTTACATCAGCTCCAAGGCTTGCAAGAAGTAAAGGCAGCCTTGCCTGCTGAGAGCCAGAAAGCTGCCGTGCTCTTCTTTCCTGCTGCTGGAGTTACTGTGCCCAAGGCCTCTGCGGCCTTTGACTGGCCCAGTGGTGAGGAGGAAATTGTGTTGGAACTCTTGCGTTTCACGGAAAAAGTAGGTGTTCCGCTCAGTGTACAGAATGCTGAGCTCATGTGCCGATCTTTGGTGATCCGCCGCGTGTACTGTTTGGTGCTAGTGGATGCTTCAGATTTCGCCATGGCACGAGCAGCACAAGATCTAGGTGCTTCCAGAAGCCAATACCAAGGCGAGGTTGCTGAGATTCGTGCAGGTGGTGGAGAGGTCTCTGAGGATGAGGATAACTTTGTTGTGCCGATTCTGAGACTTTTGAGAAATCCCCAGCGATGGTTTCAATCTCCTTCCATCGCGTCTTGCTACGCACCCAAGTTTCCAGAGGTGGAAAAAGCCTTAGGAGCTTCTAGTGCTTTCCTCATGGACCTTGATACATCGCGTATTGTCCCTTTGCGCCTGTCATCCTTCCGTGGGCTTTACCCTCAGATTGCTTATGAGGACAGCCTTACGTGGGTTGAAGGCTGGGATCCTATTCGATCCCTGCCAGACTGCAGCGAGGGCTTGTGGCAGCGCTTCATGCGGAACTTGGTGAATGCCTCCATCAGTGAAGTCCTATGGCAACTTCTTTGTGCCTTGTTCTTGGTGGAGGCTGCAGCAAAGGCTCTGACAAGCCAATCATGGCGCTGGTGGCTGGGTGTGCTTGGAATGTCCTTGGCCCTGTTGATGCGATCACCCCCCTTTTGGCGCCATCTAGATGCATACATTCCGGAATTCCTCCGAGCAGGTCAGCTCATTGCGCCGTGAAACTGCCTTGGTGACGAGGAAAAGCGTGCAACATCACAGTCTCAGCAGATCTGGGGGGAAGGCGAAATCACACGCGGGCGCCACGTTTTTGGGCCCTTCAGGCTGTTCAGGGTCGGGATCTTTTTCCCTTTTGCCTGAACTCCGATAATCCATCAGTGTCATGGAAACTTGATTGGATTGCTACCTCAAACGTGGATCAAGTACAAACATTTGTCCTTCGGAAACGAAACAATTGAGGTATTTTAACATTTCAATATTTTTCAGCTTGAGTATAGAGTACTCACTGAGTGGCTACAAGACTTTCAAGTGGATTGAGATGCGTTGGCTGAACCTTTGTGAGGTGCGCTGTACGAAAAGCCCCACTCACCTTGCCAGACAGAACTCCAGAGAGGTGTGGGGAAGTTGGGAATTCACCGGAATGGGCAGCTGACAGAAGTAGGGAGATTCATATGTGAGAATCTCACATTTGACATCTTGCATCATCTTGCGACCTTTTGGTGTCATCCTTTGTATGCGTTGTATGTGCAAATGTCGTTCCAAGTTGATTCTGGATTGCATTAGCATCGTTTTGTTTTGTGCAAAGCAAGTTCAGGATGAAATCATGCACACATGAGAACAAATGGTTGCCTGTCTAGTCAGTATGTTTTGTGGTGACACATTTGAAGGCAGCTTCCTTCCTGTATTGCATCATAAATCATTAGCTTAGACCGTGGCGATTTCCCACTTGGCAGGCGCCAGAGGTGAATGGGACTGCTGCGCAGGCGAAGTGGCGAGTGTTGAATAATCAGAACTTCAGCTGCGAAAGACCGAAAGAAAAAAAAAAATGGTGAGTGCTCGGAGTGCTCGGATACCAAGAATCAGCTCTCCTGTCAGCTCGGAGAAAACAACTGTGTCTCAAAATAAGCATTCTATGGCATTCTTGCGAAGTGTATAACGCTAAGTTCATAGCAATAATATGCAATAATCATCCCCAAGTAGTTCATACCACATTCCACAAAAAATCTGGCAATACAACTTTGGGTCGGTCCCTCCCTATTAATAAAGATGCGCAATCCCCCCTATTATATAAACAACACAATGCTCAGAAATCCTAATTTTGTGTTAGTCAGGATATAACATGATATCAATATATATATATATATATCAATTATATCTTTCTTAAGTGTGTTTTTAATTGTCTTTTAATGGTTGAACATGTTGAACAAGTATGTTTCAGGTCATGTTTTGAAGGTCCTGGATGTCCCAGGCCCATGCTTCTCACCATCTCCATATTGGGGAGGTTGCCACTGAAGAGAGAAATCTCGACCCATTGGCAGGTTGGTTGTTTAATGTTGTTTACTAGTATGTATATGTATGTATTAGTATAGTTATGTATAACAAGCCCTAGTTCTTTAATTGGTGGAGACTCTTACCTTCTAGGGGGGGATATTAATACGAACTTGGCATTAAACTACCTTTGACTTTGATCATTTCAGTGTTGGCAGGCTTCTGAGGATTCAACGGAAGCTGTGGCACGACAACGTGCACAGGCAGCAGCGGAAGCAGTCCAAGCAGTGGCACAGGCCATACCGCTACCTAAAGTAGCTTTGCGACTTTTCCAAGAGATCCGTCCTTTTCTTCCTTGCGTACTATAACTTGCTCTCTT